GGTCAATAACTCAGTGTTTCATTCGGTATGTGGTGGTCGGATTTACAACAGCGGCTGTGGATATCCCGTAGCATAGGCTTTCGTATCACCACGGTAATTAGTGTGTTCAGACCAACTGACCCCTCGCACTTCACAGCCATTAAGAAGCTGCAGCCATTAGCCGTAAACTTCAAAACTAAGACGACCGAATCGCACCCGTCCAGGCTTGGTACAACTCAGGTATTGACCTCTCTAGACACACTATATGTTGTGAGAGCCGACCTAGATCGTTAAGACAACGGCGGAAAAGCCAAATCAAGCAAGCCTTGTGTACCGGAAGACCTTGATCAACCCCCCGGATTTCAGGACACAGAGACCGAGATCCATCTGATGGTGTACGCATATATATGTACACAGAACTTTTTAATCTTCCTTAAACAATAACCATTTCAGAAATCAGAGGATGGATGCTGCTTTAGAGGGGCATCAGATGCTGATATGAACTACCAACCACCCCTATGGCAACGTAGGAGGACTACGAGGTAAACTAGCAGAGACAAGGTACTCATTTTTATAGTTAGACCTTAAGGTCACAGACCTAAATGGATATCGTCCGATAACAAGGATGAAGTAGTGAGCTCGCAAGACATAACATATTTTTAATACCAAATGGTAAAAAAACAGGAGGTGGAGAGGAAATGTAAATAAACTTCCGCTTAAAAGACCTCACACTACATAATATCGAATAAACCAAGGTGATTGAGTCATACAAGCATTGCTCCGATGTAGACTACACGATCCTTCGGAGGTTCTAAAACCCAAAATAAAAAATAGCTAGGCGATACTAATACTACAACACCTGGTGTTCGACCAGATACTACTACATGGGGATTTCAACTTTTCATTCCCAAATCTCAGTAGGCAGGAAATAAACCCTACGTGCTGGTATCGTAAGAGGATTTTCATGGCCTTAGGAAGTTCAAGACTGACTGAATATGCAGATAACGCACACGAGCTGAGGTGACAATGAAAAAAGCTTTAACTTAGGTTACTTGTCCGAGACCAGTGAGGAGCAGTGACCATGACACTATGTTTGATGTGATCACAAATGAGAAACTTGGGCGGGATAAAAATGTTTCCCGCATTAGCTAGCCTTGTGCTGATTATATGGTGATGAGTGAGCATCGTCATGACAACTCTAGTGGTTGAGAATAAAAATGGAAATAGTGGGAGACATCATTCGGAACAGTATCAAACACAACATGTCACTGGGTAAGCACACCTCCGAACAGTGAAAATCCTTGATTAAGTGAGGCACAGAACGCCTGCTACAAGCCGGACTGAGAGCCTAGCACAAATGTAAGGTTTCCTCGATGGAATCTTACTGTAGCTCATACTGCCTTTTGAGAAACATATGTAACGCCAAAGTCCGAAGCGGTAGAGATTTCCAGGTCAAATTAGGAGCCTAAACGCAGGCTAACTCAAAGTATTTCCACAGACACATGACCATGAAAAAGCCCATAAACCAAGAGAACTGTACTTTTAAAGTCAGTTGTCGAAGATCCAACTAATTTAGAGATGTCTGAGATCTTTAATGCCAACTTTGTAGACTAACGAAAATAGGAGTACACAACCGCAGAACAACTCTCAATTTTAGCTCCAGTTGAGGGTCTAGGAAGTATTCGAATAACTCACGTGTTAGTATCAAAGAGACTGAAATCCTTGAGCACAAGAAATTCACCAGGATGTGACAACACCCAAACTGTATTCCTAACAAACTGCCAAGAAATCATTAGCACACCGTTGTGTAACTTGTTTGGGTACTCACTAGATTTGGGAAAACTCACAAGAGAATGAAAGAAGAACTTCCTTTACGTTCTTCAAGGGGTGATGTAGAAAAGATCCAGCGTGACACAGACCAGTTTCAATACTCACAATACTGTTGAAGGTAATGGGAGGACCGCTCAATAAACAAAAAAGGGGAATACATGGGTAAAATCACCATCCTTTATGAAGTGTTACACCGGTTCAGGAAAGACAGGTCATGTACATCCACTCTTTTCATAGAATACTGGATAACATGATATTCCTTGACTTTTTAAAAGCTTTTGAAACTGTACCTCATGTAGTCCTCATGGCAAATGTCGCAAAGTTGGATTCCGCCAACTTTTATCCTGGCTCCTAAACTACCTAGAGAACAATATGTTTCGTACCGATGGATAATGAGTGCATGAGAACCATAAGGTTTCAACACTATGAGTATAACTAGACACAATCGTATGCTCATACATTACCAACAAATTATTATTAACGCTTACCACCTGAATCAACACTTAGTTATTTTCAAGTTACAGCCTTCCCGGTAATGCGATAGATGCTAGTATCCAGAAATCCTACTTCCCTGAGACAAACTCACTACAATATATGCTCGGCAAATAACCAGCACACTAACCAGGACAGATTTGTGTAGTAAGGACAGAAGGCCTACGGGCTATGTTATTCTTTTTCTAGTATGCTTCCGTGAGTGTCCAGTCTTCTCTTGAAAGAGCCAACCGAAGGTGCGGACACCACTGCTTCAGGCAGCAGATTCCAAGTATTGATGACTCAATGTGAAAAACTGTGTGCCACTGGTATTTTGTTCGTTCTTGGCTTTTCTGCTCTACTGCTGTGTCCTCTGAGATGTCCCGATATAGTGGGAATAAAAAGAGAGAATAATTTGTGTCCGAAATCACTTCTTAGCACTCTTTACATCAAAATTCAATCTCCTCTTAGTCTGCGATAGGACAGAGTAAAGATGTCCAGCTTTTCAAGCCGCTCTCTGCATAGTAAACCCCGGAGTTCTGGAGTTGTACAGATAACTGCTCTCTGTACTTTTTCTAGAATATCTGAGTCACCTTTTAAACAGGGGCTTGCAGCCTGAACGCAGTTCTCAAGCCTAGTTCTCACTAATGTTGTGTATACTGTGGTGGATATGGTAGTATTTAACTTGGTGAATGTCCGTTTTAAAGCCCAGAGGGTTCGAAACCCCTTAGCGGGTTGTCGTCTTAAAATCGTGACTCACCGTCACCCTTAGATCGTTATGAGACCGGACCATGGGTATTGGCAATTTCTTCTATTCTGTACCTATTAACCTTTGTGTCCCCAAAGTGCATGTAGGCACACTTTTCCGCGTTGATAGGCACCAGCCACTCCTTAGACTAGTTGATTACATTATTTAAGTCTTTCTGAAGAGCACATGAGTCTGTGTCTCCATTTATTACTCGCCAGATCTTTACATCGTCAGCGTATAATAACATTGGAGACTGTACTATACTAGGATGTTCATTAACATACATTATAAGAAGTAAAGGACTTAGGACGGAACCTTGAGGTACTCCACTAAGTACAAGTCTCCAGATGAAGCACTTGGAACTTATTCTTACCTTCTGTCTACGACCTACTAGGAAATCCATAAGCCACTTTAAAAGAGGTCCAGCAATAACAAGGTTTTCTAACTTCAATAGCTGTCTATTAGTTTGCACCTTGTCAAGAGTCTTACTGAAGTCTATGTAGACAACATTAACTGAGTTTTCGTTGTCTGGCGCTTTTATCCGAAATCCCCTTGATATAAGGATGTTCGTTGTACATGATAGATCCTTTCCAAAACCATGTTGTTCTCTATCTAACAAGTTATTGGTTTCCATAAATGCCATTATGGTCCTTTTGACTATTCTTTACAATATTTTAACTACAACACTAATGAGGCTTACGGATCTATAGTTCGATGGAAGTTGTCTTGGTCATGTTTTATGTATGAGAGTGACGATTGCGTTCTTCCAGTACATAGGTAACACCTTGGTAAATGACATGTTGAATATCGCAGCCAGTGGGGCTGCGGCATATTAAACGATATTTCCAAAGATTTTTGAGTGTAGTTCACCTGACCCTGTTAATTTCCATGCCTAAGGTGTTAAGAGCTTTAAGCACATTGTCTTGATTGAAGTCTACTATGAGCAGGTGGTTTGTTGACTCAGTATTTTGGTCTGGTTCTTTATTTAGAGGAGGTTCCTGAATGAAAACTGCCGAAAAATGGTCAGCCATAGCCTCTGCTTTTTCCTGATCTTTCTCTTTCATTTCATATTCTTTAATTAAGTTGGAAATCCGATGATGCATCCTTGTTCTGTAGTTTATGTACGAGAATATTCTCTTAGGCTGCTTGAGTGCAGATTGTGCCAACTGCATTTCATATTTTCTTTGAGCTTCCCGGACTTTAGTTATACACGTTTTTTCTACTGATCTGTAGCGTTCCAGCGTACCTGTTGTGCCAAGACTGACAGCAACATTCTAACATTTCTTTTGTCTTAGTAAACATCGAATATCCCGGCCTATCTAGGGATAGCCGCGCTTCTTCTACTTTGGGACTGTCCAAGGTATGTATGGTTTAGTTACTCGATTGTACAACTGCTTGAAATGAGTCCATGCCTCTTTTACTGGTGCCTCTGGGTCTTTTTCTCAGTATTTAGCCGATGCTGCTGAGTTGATTGCCTCCATATCTGCCTTCCATATATTAGGACGGGCACCCTAGCACACTAACTATAACTAGTTTAGTCGTCCAGCTAGACGACCACCCATTGGAAACTATCAGATAAACCGAAAAATATCGGACTAATAAGATGCGAGCTCAAGGAAATTATGTGGTTTGTACAAGCTCATGCCAAAGACATTGGATGCTTAAAACTTTAAAGGCTCTCCTTGAGTTTGTCCCGCACAAAGCAAAGTTGGGTTCACTTTTCGTGGTTGAGCGTTGGTCACTCTGATACCAGCAGTCAAAATATATCGATGGCGTCCGGGATAAGAGATGAAAAGGGATATTCACCTACTGACAGGTATCCAGTGCTTTCCGTAACACTTCCAGATATCATTTGGTGTATATAATATTCTTTATGTGTGGTTTGGGAGGGCTCTTACCGTGGAACTTCTTCATTAATGCACAACGGGTACGTTGATTATATATTTTCACTCCTCAGTATTTTGAATACAAAATGAGAAACAATACCCTCCCTCCAGACATCGATTACACAGACCCCAAATATATGACACGTTCTCAAGTTCTGTTCGGCAGCTATTTGGCAGTTTGCTCTTTGGTCCCTTTTTCCATCATGATGGTTGCCAATTTACTGCTGATGAAATGGTCAGATATATATCTATATAATCTACTCCGTTCTAGGTTCTCCCCGTTTTCTCGGTTTGCTGTTGGTAGCGTATTGGTGTTCATCGTGTTTCTCATCACGGTTATTCTTGTTTATATTGATGTCAGTAGGTTACATACACTACTCTGATATTTATTTTAGGCGCTTATGCATTTCTGGCCATAACACTTGTTTCGGTTGTGTTCCTTAACTGTAATTTATTTAACTTTGTAATATGATATTCTATAGGTGGTAGTGCTCTCGCTCAAGGTAGCGTATTTGGTGTGGCAGCCATACTTCCTTCCAAACATATGAAGGCTGCTTTAGAAGGACAGGTAATTCCCAGTGTTAACGTCTTACAAGCAGGCAGAATTTTTCACATTTCTTAGTCTTTGAATGGTTGTGTCAGTGGGACTATAATTTATAGACAACTGTTAAGCGACTCTTAGGTGACTTTAAGGGAATTCATCAGCCTACTGTGGTCTAAAGAGGACTAAAACTTAATGTAAGAGATTAGGATCAAGATTTAAATCTTAATTTAGTGTTAGGAATTGTAGTTAGGGTTTTTATCATGAACTGACATCAGCTAGAATGCCGTAGCACAAAGAGCCATTGAAACTCTGTGTAAGAGTTTGGAAAATGTTGAGATTACGTGGAAACGTTTTTCAGTGTATAATTATGTCTTAGTTAACTGCTTGGATTAATCGCAAGAGGTATATTTTTAATCAGTTCAGTTGATGATTGATTAAGTAGGACGTAACAAGTCAGCCGTAATATGTTTATCCCACTGATGACTCCTGCTTTGCAAAGGTTCATTAGCATTTAACTTCACTTCGACTTTAAAGCGCTTGATGTTGCTTAGTGGATAACAATGAAGCCTTATGTACAAGATTACATGTTAGACTTTTCAGGCCTATACAATGTAACTTGTTGTACATACATCTAAGTTTGATACTACGGATTTTGGTGTTAGTTATCTGATTATTCTACTGATATACAATCTAGTTTTGTTTATAATATCTGATTTTTTTTCTCATGTAGTCTAGATTTCATGTTTAAACTTGAGTTGCAGTTTCTGTTATGATATGTATAGAATGATAAGGCATACCGGGGACATTACGTATATCTTCATTTTTTGTCCTTTAAGTCCCTGCGTGATTTGTATCTTATGTAATAATTGTTGAGTACATTATATACCATCATTTTACCTTGTATAGTCTATGCAAGTTTTTAGTTAACATCTAGATGTCCACCCCTCCAATATCTTTTGCCTCTTATCGTGTTTTAAACCTGCTCTTATGTTGAATGTCTTTTATTTCAGGCTGTGTCTGGTATTCTTGCATCTCTGGCTAATATTGTATCTATTGCGGCTTCTTCCTCAGTGACCACTAATGGGTTAGTTTACTTTTTGGTCGCTTTAGTTTTCGTCACCGCTACAGCTGCTTTGTTCTTGGTTCTTCCTAGAAACGTAAGTTCTTATGCTCGTAATTATATTCATACGTATATACACACATGAGCTGTATAACTTTTATCCTTCATAAAGGTGGTGCTGGGTGTGGCTAGAGTTTTATTTAAAACGTTCTTATATGTAGCCATGTTGAAGTCGTCTCCTTATGTTTTGTGCACTGTTAGAATGGGTCGACACGTATTTGTACCGCGTCATTAGTTATCAATGATTGGGTGGTGTATTTTCATATCGAATTAGTGTTATCGGCTTTTAATCCAGACGAGAACTCCTGAACTTTATTACTCAATTCTAGAACTACACTTCTGGGTCAAACTTAGAAATCAAAAGTCACATGATTTCACAGCCACTGAATTCAAACATAAATTATATTTCCAAAAATTATATTTCTGTAACCTTGGGTCGTTTACTTCATGGATCATGTAGTATTTATTTCCTTTTGGGGAAAGTAGTTACCTGTTTCTTTATCGATTATTTCTTAACTATATACACATTATATGGTTAATCCTGGTCAAACTAAGGAATAGCCTCAAATATTTGATCTTAAGATTACAAAGGGTCTAAGCGCATTAGTTTAAGTGAATTACCAACTGAGTACATGCTTGTATAGTCTAATAGCTAGCTTTACAGTTTGGGTGTAAATTTTTGGATGTCCATTTTGTCACTTGATGGTTGAGCAAAGCTTATTTTACGCTCAATATAGTTAAATTAAGTGATCTTGATGCATATAATCACAATCTTATCAATTAAGCAAAATTAATGTGCAGAGATTCTCCTGCGAAAAAGAGTCTCCACGGTCCAATCATATAAGATGTTCAGCTAAGTGTTATTGGTGGAGAGGTGGCTCATTAATTTAAATACGATTACACTTCAGAACTATGTTTTATGCATTTTGATTCGGGAAGTTAAATGGTATCACTTGCTTTATATAAAAATGGCTGAAACCAAGTAAAAAAACCGGTACTTGTTTATAAAGTTGTTTTGGATCACTTAACTACACTGAAAAGAAAGAATGGATCTAAAAATACAGTTCGTAAACTTATTATCAGGCTATATTCAATGTGATGCTGTAATTATGAATTGTTGCCTAATATCTGTTCATTGAGAAACGCGAAGCCATCAGAAAGTTGCATCACGACACAAATATGTGTTGTGTTGTGTTGTGTCGTGCTTAATAGGAGACCAGAACTGAAAGTTCCTATATAAGTATTGTATCTATTAATTTGAACGTTGTACTTCAGGAAAATAATTTGAGTAAACAGAGGGTGTAATTATTAGTTTGAAGTGTGGAGTCGAGTCGCGGTTGACTATCATCACCATTACAAGAAGACTACGTGCCAGTTACTAAGATAGATCCCTCCGTAGACCAAATATCAGAAAGCAATTGAAGGTTGTAGTAAGATATTTTTGTTGGCGATCTCGTGGTGTCGAAGGGATACCGAGATCGTGCCAAAGTTCACAAGCGGGATTACTTAGCACACAAGAGTTTGTGCAAGGTCACACACAACTGAAGAATGTGTTTTTAGTACACTTAGACAAACAGGTACAGTAAAACAATCATTGGTACAATTGGTTATAATAATAATTGTTTCCATTATACCAATGGCGTTTTCTTCATACAAATAGGTCACTACAAGTTGGAGAGGCATCTTCCTCAGAATTCTAATGTTAATGTTATAATCAGTCGGATTAGTTAAAAGTGACTTGATGGATTCGTAAAAAAACTAATCTTACCGGTATGAAGAAACAAGTTGGGGTTTGACATCACTATATTGCGCTTTTTTCATCAAAATTTATTATAATTTAAGACTGGACCTTGGTCATTGTGGAAAAGTACAGTTTCAAGTCAACTTGTTCATAAAATCTAGAAAGGTATAGGGGATTTTCAGAAGTAGAGCTTTAGATTACACAATTCCTATTTTAGTGGCTGTATACTATAGATTATGTAACATCGTCTATGATTCTACTAACAATGAAGGCTTACAAATTCCTTTTGAGAAACCTGTACAATCACGAAAAATTATGAACACTTTGTGGATTTGTTGTAGAATTCTATGGTTTTACCCACTTGCTCATGGTTGATAGGGTATTTACAATATCTGAAGTACGGTTCTACTGTTAGCTTTTGATTTTAAGGATTTTGTCATTTTGTGTTGGTAAAAATGTATTTAGCTATATTTACATTGACTAGGAACTCCGCCTTGAGCCCTTCTAAGGCTACTGCCGGTTCCAAGCCCGGATAAGGAGGAGGGTTGGGCATGGAGTTAGTGACCCCATCCCGTAGATAATTAACTCGCTAAAAAAACGCCAAACAGAAGAAAAATCAAACCATTTAAATTCTGCTCTGGGAGCTAGAAGGTCTTCATTTAGAAGAGTTATGATGCCTTATGTTGAAAGTCAAGTTCCTTCAGAAGTCACGAGGCTGATGCTCTTCTGACAACCAGATACATGAAGTGCTCGTACAATGTGGGAGATCGAGAGTCTTCCGGATATCTGCAGAAATGAAGAGACACAACCTGGAGGTGCTCGGAATTAGTGCGACACATTGGACGCAGGTTGGACAACAACGACTAGCATCAGGGGAGCTTCTGTTATACTCCGGCCATGAAGAAGAAGAAAATGCCTCACATACACAAGGAGTTGGATTGATGCTATCCAAACAAGCACAAAATGCACTTATAGGATGGGAATCTCATGGACCAAGGATCATTAGTTTCCTTCAAAACAATGAAAGAGGGCATTACAATTAAAGTTATCCAATGCTATGCGCTTACCAACGACTACAATGAAGACGTTAAAGACCAATTCTACGACAGGCTGCAGTTAGTCGTCATGAAGTGCCCAACAAAGGACTTGACCATCCTGATGGGAGACCTAAATGCCAAGGTCGGAATGGACAACATGGGATATGAAGACATCATGGGACGAAATGGACTGGCGGAAAGGAACATAACTGCATGCACAAAACCACATGGACTTCACCGGATCACACTACGCAGAACCAAATCGACCATACCTGCATCGATAAAAAGTTCAGAAGGACGATGGAGAACGTGAGAAGCAAGAGAGGAGCTGATATTAGCCACAGACCATCACTTGTTGGTCGCTAAGATAAAACTGAAACTCAAGAAGCGCTGGACAACAGGGTGGACAACATCATGATAGTTTAATACGGCCTTTCTTCGGGATACTGACTGCCTCAACGAATTGAAGATAGCCCTCAACAATAGGTTCCAAGCCTCTCACGATTTACTCAATGGAGAAGTTACTGTCATAGAAAACCACTGGAAAGGAATCAAAGAGGCAATTACTTCAACATGTCATGAGGTTCTGAGCCACAAGGAGCACCAATACAAGGAATGGATAGCCGTCGATGCACTTGATAAGATTCAAGAAAGGAGGAACAAGAAGGCAGCAATCAATACCAACCGAACAAGAGCAGAAGAAGCCAAGACACAAGCTGAATACACAGAAGTAAACAAGCAATTGAAGAGGAGCATCAGAACTGACAAACGTAAATAGGTGGAAGATTTAGCAATGACGGCGGAAAAGGCTTCAAGAGAAGGAAACATGAGACAGTTGTATGTTACAACAACGAATCTCGCAGGAAAATATCATAAACCAGAACTACCAGTGAAAAGCATGGAAGGCAAAGTAATCGCCAACATTGAAGAACAATGAAACAGCTGGGTAGAGCACTTCAAAGAACTCTTGAATCGACCAGCCCCACTGAATCCACCCAATATTGAAGCAGCGCCCACGGACCTCCCAATCGGTGTTGACCCACCAACAATTGAAGATATCAGCATGGCCATCAGACAAATCATGAGCGGCAAAGCAGCAGGACCAGAGGCATTCCAACAGAGGCACTCAAAGCAGATGTAGCAGTAACTGCAAAGATTTGAGGTGAAGAACGTTTACCAACAAACTGGAAAGAAAGACACCTGATCAAGATACCAAAGAAAGGCGATCTCAGCAAGTATGATAACTACAGGAGCATCAGTCTTCTCTCAATACCAGGTAAAGTCTTCGACAGGGTATTGTTAGACAGAATGAAGGACTCCGTAGATGCCCAACTTCGAGACCGACAGGTGGAATTCCGTAAGGATCGTTCGTGTACAGACCAAATCGCAACACTACGGATCATTGTGGAGCATCAACTTCATTGACGACGAGAAGTCATTTGATAGCGTGAACAGAACAATACTACGGAGGCTTCTTCGACACTGGCGTTCCTGAGAAGATAGTCAACACCATACAATATTCTTATGATGGGTTGAACTGCAAAATCTGCATGGAGGACAATTGACAGACTCGTTCGAAATAAAGACCGGTGTCAGGCAAGGTTTCTTACTCTCAACCTTTCCGTTTCTCCTGACGATTGACTGGATTATGAAGACGTCCACATCTGGGGGGAAGCACGGGATGCAGTGGACAGCTAGGATGCAGTTGGATGATCTAGACTTCGCAGATGATCTGGCTCTTTTATTGCAAACACAACAAATGCAGAAGACAACCAGTGTAGCAGCAGCCTCAACAGCAATAGGTCTCAACATACATAAAGGGAAAAGCGAGATTCTCCGATACAACTCAGCATGCACCAATCGAATCGCACTTGACAGAGAAGCTTTGGAAGATGTAAAAATCTTTACATATCAGAGCGGCATCATTGATGAACACGGTGGATCTGATGCAAATGTAAAGGCGCGGATTGGCGAAGCAAGAGAAGCATATCTACAACTGAAGAACATCTGTAACTCAAAATAACTGTCAAGCAAAACCGAAGGCAGAATTTTCAATACAGATGTCAAGACGGTTCCACTGTATGGGACGGAAACTTGGAGAACTACGAAAGCCATCATTCAGAAGATACAAGTATTTATTAGCAGTTGTCTGAGCAAAATACTTCGAATCCGTTGGCCACACATTATCGGCAACAATCTACTGCGGAAGAGAGTAAACCAGATCCCAGTGAAGGAAGAAATCAGGAAGAAGCGCTGGAAGTGGATAGGATACACATTAAGGAAAGCACCGAACTGCGTCACAAGGCAAGTCCTCACTTGAAATCCTCAAGGCCAAAGGAGAAGAGGAAGACCAAAAAACACATTACGCCGGGAAATGAAGACAGTCATGAGAAGAAGGGACAACAATTAGATAGAACTAGAAAGGAAGGCCCAGGGTAGAATGGGTTGGAGAATGCTGGTCGGTTTCCTATGCTCCATTGGGAGTAACAGATGTAAGTAACGTTAACTAGGACTTATGCAGCAATTACTCGTTCTTTGCATTCGATGTATTTTTTGTGATTTTTACTAAAGTAACAACTAACGTTAAAATAAAATTCCCGTAAACGGAATTTTCTCGGCAACTTAATAATCATTAAAATCATACTATTTGATTCAAATATAATACTCGGAATCAGTCGCATTTATTACATCATATTTGAGTAGAAAACATCTTTCCATTGGATTCATTCCAAAAAATGCGAATGTTTCGTAAGTAAAAACGAAGTAATAAAGGTATTGACTTCATAAGCACCAGTGGGGTGTATGCTCATCAGCGACATCAGATGAAGGTAAGGTTATATTGTTAAACAAGTTTAAACTGGAAAATATGGACTTGATTCTTACTTAAAGGCTAAATTATATGGTGCTTACTGTATAATCCAGAAGTTACGGATTCATTTCGGGTTTAGATTGTGAATGTTCACTCTAATAATTGTCTACTGATCCACATGTTTCTTTAGTCTTATTCAAACTGATACCAGATTTAGGTGAAACTTAGATCTAAATCTTCACGGGCGGTAAATGTAAACATAAGGACAAGTTAGTCATACGTAGTAATATGAGAACCATTTATCGTATTTCCTATGAATCCAGAAATAAATTTGTGGTTGATTCCGTTGATGTGTCAGTCACTTTACTGTATTACCTGCAGTAGTGTTTATTGCCTCTCATTTATGTGCATCTGATAAGAATCATATAATTTCCACCGTAATTGATAATTGTTTCATTGCTAATTATTTAAATGTTCGTTATCGCATATGTTAGGCTTCCTAGTTTGATTACTTTTCACAAGCTTTTGCTAATACTTTTTATTATGTTATTAATTTCTAGGGCTATTTTAAATATTACTGGGACAAAAAAGGTAAGTTTAGTATTTATTTATTTCTTGATGATTTAAAAAACTTTTACGTAATATATAGATAGCCTTTAATTACTTCATATCTACCAAAGATTATATTTATAGGCAGAGCATAAATGGATTTAAAATGGAAAAGTAGTATAATAACTTTTTTCATTTTCAAGTACTTATGGACTTGGAATTCGTGCACGAAACCACCGATTATTGTGCTGAGCCATTGAGGTAGGTGAAGATCACCTGGTTGAGATCAGCGTGATTATCATAGCCAATGGAAAGAGGCTTTATGTGACATGACTTAAAATCTGTCGAAATGGGTTAGGTGCATTCACTCATTGTATTTCCTTAGATCTTAAGCTTCTAAATCACCTTAGAAGTTCTTTTCATTATGCTAATCCATATCTTCTTTTCAAATAATATTTTCGATATCTCATTTTTTTATTACCACTAATACTGTTACTACATCTACTACTCTGAGATATGTTTTGACAACGTCATCATAATGTGCTAATGGATTGTGGTTACTTTAGCCAGTGCACACATATGCCAAGTCCTACGTTAAGTATAACTGACTGACTGACTGAATTGTTTTTCCTGTGCAATTTAATTCTGAACCTAATGGTGAACAACAATAGGCTTTTTTTTATTAGTCAGCTAAGATACGGTATCATCCAAGTTCATGTGTGCTCTCTTTCTGTCTTTTAAAATAGGCATGAGTTACTTCAAACTCCCATTTTGTCCATTAATTTATAATAAGCCTAACCTTTAACAATGATAGTGTTTGCAGTAGGGTTAGATTGTTTTTACAATTACTTAATCTTATTCACTACATCTTAGGAAGTATGGATTTTCTTCCTTTTGTCCATGAATTTTGAATTCCCAGATCTACCATTTTAATGAAGATATATTAATCATTTGGTGGCAGAGAATTTCATACTCATGGTTGAGACTTTTTGGTGAAGGTATTTTCCGTTGAAAATCTGACAACAGCTACTACCTTTCTAAAAACGCTTTGGAATTCGTTGTCCGATACAAATATATGAGGTAGAGTGATCTCCTTCCTTTGAACACGGATAAATATTGATGACTATTCAGAGTTTCATGCGCGACGGAGGAAATCGAATTAATTTCAATCTCTAGGACAACTAAATCCGTGGTTCTTACTTACTTTCAATACTTCTTTTATATCGGTTACAATGACTATACCAAGGGAATTCGGTAGTGAATTGAATGATCTTGGCCGAGAAATGAAACATTTGAAATATTTAAGTAGTTTTGAACTTCCTAAGCCATAAACACTTAGAATCTATATTCTAAATTTGTTATTAATATTACGAGAATAAACTATAGACTTAGTATTGATTGCATATGTTGACTACGAGGTTAAATACTTTTGTAAAATTAATTAAATTACCAATATTTCCGAGGTTAGAGGAGCAATAAAAAGCGTAGTGGAACGAAATCTAGTGACAATTAAATCTTGGTTTATCGTAAAAATACAAAAAATACGTAACTGGAACGTTTTATCACCAGTTTAGATAACCAAAGAATCTTATTATATTTTAAATGAGGGACAAGTTATTTCGAAGTAGGATAATCAAATTGTATCAACATCCGTAATGTTATATAAGCATTATGAAGTACAGAAGCTGACAAGGTGTAAGTATTCCGTATAGGCTTGTGAAAATTGTTAACTTTCATTGAATCACGAGCCGATCTAAGTTAGATGACCATCGAAAGCCTAGAAGTATTGGACGGCCCTTTCGCCTTAGCATGGGACTCCTTAACAGTTTGCGCACTCAGGACTCAAAACCAGCACCTTCGGTCTCGCTCACAAACGCTTAACCCCTAGACCACTGAGATGGAATCTAATGGTGTTAATGTCTAGCCTTAATCAATCCATGGCACTGAGTGACCATCTTCCATTGTCTTCGATGTGTAACTACCTCACACACATCGGTCACGGCTTTTCATTGGAAATCCAAGAATTCCCTCTCGAACCTAGCCACTTGTGGGCGTTTGATAATTTTTAGTCAGGGGTTGTGGAAATTGTTGGATTTCATTGAAATTATTCACTAACTTAATACGAAAAAATAAATAAATTAACAGGCAAGCAGGTGACGATCACTCCTATCTGATTAGTAGTTGTGGTTTGTAAGAAACACATACATGTAGCAGTCCATTACTTAGTCATGGAATTCAGTCAGTCAGTCAGCTGCAACGTAGGACCAGGCACGTATATGCATCGGTCCAAGTTGCCATACCGCATTAGCACAACAAGATGAACACCGGATTCATAGAAGTAGTTAATTCAGTGGTGGTAATATATAGAAAAAAGATTGCATATAAGGAGATAGTACAGGAAGATAGAATTAGTTCCTAGAAAGAAAGATTTGAAGTGATTTTAATCTCTTAGTTTAAAGGGAGATAGAGAGTGTATACACCGACGCCATTGTGATCGATTCTGAGCCATGTCACCAAGAGTCTCCAACCATTGGTTACGATAGTCACGCGGACTCCAACCAGGTAGTCTACATCTACCAACATGGCTCAGACCAGAAGTTAGTGACTTTAAGCACTGATGCCACGTTTTGGTTTGGCTGTCCCTAACTTTCTTCCAATCATCCCTAACACCGGTTAGCATTGCGCGTCGTGGTAATCTGTGTTCAGACATACGCAACACGTAGCCCAACCATCTCAGTCGATGAAGATTCATAACCTCATCAACTGATTTACCATCATTCCCTAATACCCTGCGTCTAACCTCACTATTACTTACCCGGTGATCCCAGCAGATACCCGCAATATTTCTAAGGCATCTGTGGTCAAATACTAGTAACTTACGAATATCTTGTACTCTTAAAGGCCATGTTTCGCAGCCGTATAGTAGAACGGAACGAACTGCCGCGCAGTATACTCGTCCCTTAATTGATAGACGGATATCTCGCCTTCGCCATACATGACGTAAGTTGGCGAAAGCCAAACGAGCTTTCTGAATCCGTGCTGAGATTTAGTCAGACACCAACCCATTAGGGCTGATCAGACTTCCGAGATAAGTGAAGTTGTCGACGCGTTCGACTACTTCACCCCCTATCCTTAGTTCAGGTGTTGATGCAGACCAGTCCTGAAGCAACAACTTGCATTTAGAGGGAGAGAAGCGCATCCCAAACATCCTGGCATTGTTGCTCAGTGCTACCAAAAGACTCTGCATTTCATCAGCGTCTTCACCAAACAGGACTATATCATCTGCGTATTCTAAGTCGATTAGTGGACCTCCTGGTAGGAGATCAGTGCCCGAGAATTCAGTCGATGAGGGCGTTATTTCCATCAGTAGATCTATGATGAAGTTGAACAAAAATGGAGAGAGTGGACAGCCTTGACGGACGCCACTTGAGGTTGCGAAAGCAGATGACAGTTCGCCATAAGTTCTCACTCGACTAGTAGTGTTCGAGTAAAGAGCTTTCACAAGGTTTATGTACTTCTGAGGTACGCCTTTCAATGACAGACACTGCCACAGAACCTCTCGGTCAACAGAGTCAAACGCTGCTTTTAAATCAAGGAAGACCACCATTGTCGGACGCCGATAAATATGTCTGTGTTCTATAACCTGACGAATGGTGAATATGTGGTCGATGCAGCCACGACCAGGTCTGAAGCCAGCCTGATTTTCACGTGTTTGCAGCTCACGAGTCTTAGTTAGGCGTCCGAAAATTATCGAAGCTAGTATTTTAGATATTATATTAGTTAAACTAATCCCTCTGTGGTTGTCACAGGATGGTTTTGACCCTTTCTTAAATATTGGGACGATAAGTGATTGTGACCAGTTAGATGGGTTAACGTTCAACTCCCAGATGAGAGTGTCGTCTTTTTCCGAAATAGTCTGACTTACACTTGATTTATTCATTCCAGTTTCTTTTATTAGTCTGTAGAGTTGTCTTGTGTTCCCTATAGCCGCCGTCTTTTCCATCTCTTTTGCTTTCGTTGCCCACCACTGCTCACGATCGTTCCTTAGACTTTTGCTTAACCTAAATCTGATTTGTTTACGCTCTTCATCGTGTTCAGAACCTGATGGGATGAGTTTACGAAAATCTATCAGTGCAATAGACCTTGAAGAAATCCATTGGTTCTTTGTAAGCCTGTGGTTTAAATCACTAGTAGATGTCACTGCTGTTTCCACAGCTGCTTGTATGTCTTTCCAATCAACATCGGGTCAGCCTCGTTTTCAGAACTACCTAAGTGTGACCTCAGTTGTTCCTGGAACCTACTTTTGGTTTTCTCATTACTCAATTCGGTTCTAATGAGTCTTTTTTGTGTGGCTTTTTTGCGTCCAGTGAGGCGCAAGCAGATGAGTGCTCGTATTAGGGCATGGTCGGAGTCCAAGCAGGTACTCCAGAATGAGCGACAATCTTCTATTGACCCTCTCCAACGATGACTGATGGCAATATGGTCTATTTGAGTCCATCGTTGGTTTGGTGCAGGGGGTCGCCATGTTAGATGATGTCTCTCCTTATGCTTAAAATTTGTGTTTGCTAAAAATAAACGATTGTCTGAGCACAGTTGCAGCAGACGATCACCATTATCTGTTCTCTGTGCCGGAATACTAAAATACCCACCTAAATGTCTTTCTGTTTCGTTTAAGCTACCTACCTGGGCATTAAAGTCGCCTGCTACGAGTACTATGTCTGAACGTTTAGCTTTCTGAAGAAGTTCAGAGAGTTTTCTGTAAAATTCATTTTTCACTTCATCCGAACTGAAGTCAGTGGGAGCGTAGGCAGAAATGACGAAAAGGCAACGACGTGTGTCCCTATCCTTTCGAGTTCTTACGGAGCCGTTTAGCCGAACAGCGCATAGACGACTACTAACGGGGATCCACTCTAATAGCGCTTGTTCCGCCCTCATGCTTAGTGCTATGCCTACACCTGCAAGTCCACGAGAACTAGCCATCGGGTCGCCAGATACACGGAGGGTGTATCTCGTCGGCACTCCGTTTTGCCGAGGTGAGGTCAAGTGAATGACCACACTAGAATCCTGTACGCGTGTTTCGGAGACACAGCATACATCAATTGTACGAGATTCTAAGATTTTAGCCAAGGAAGCCTGCTGACCGATTTGGCATAGTGTGCGTACGTTGAAGGCTCCAATGTGTAGTTTGGAGCGAGGTTTCAGTAGACCTGGGACAGTGTTTCGCGCACTAGAATCGTTGGCTGTGGTGACACTTGAGGAGGAAGCCGAAAGAGGGAGTTTGGATTTGAAAGTCGATGTAAGAGGAATAATAGGAATTGGAGAGGTAGGTTGATTATGAATACAGTGGTCTTGAGTGCTGTTAGAGGTATGAGGGCGGTTATCACTTCCCCGTTGCCCACACCATGGAAGGGTTCTGCTTGAGGTGCCTGAAAAGGAAATTGGATTAGAGGTGGTCATAGTGACCTGAGAGCGTGACCGCAGTGCCCAAGGGACAGCTGCTTGAGGTCGGTCACACAGGACCTTTCTATGAGTAATTTTTGTGTTAGCTCCGTACTTGTTGAGACCTTACCGCCGGAGACGGATATCCGTGGGATAAGGCGAGGTGTGCATTTTTAGGGTCGACCTTTTCTAACCCCTCCCCTCCTTTTGGGAAGGCAGCATCGCTGTTATGCTGGTTGTCTGAAGGAAACACCTTACTGCTGTCACACCTCTGTACAGTCAGCAGTACGACTTCGCCTTCGGACCTTGGTTTTGTTGTTTTTAGTCTTACCGCTCTTCAACCGACCTGTCTGGCATGGTAGGACCTTGAGGAACGGTTGTTCCAGCCAGTATAGCTCAGTTGCTTCATCACGATAGGCAAGCCCGACCACCACATCAAGGTAGCAACAATGGTCAGGAATTCATTAGACAAGGAACCTCGAAGAAAATTTATCAGTTGTTTAGTCGATTAAAATGACTGTGATTTATAAAAAAAGGGCAAATGTATTTATAGTAATAATAGTGATAATAATTAGTCACAGTAACCTACAAGTCTGATCAGAAGTGGATCAACTGTGGCTAAATACATATACTTTGTTGCAATAAATAGTTCAGTACCTGCTTTTCACAAAATACAGTTCGTGAGATTATTATTCTTGTTAAAGCTTTGAAACACCTGAAATAAATTCGATTTTGTTGTTTGTTGTTTTTTCTCCACCACTGTGACAACACGTGTAAGAAAACGAAAATTCCTTCTATCTACTGTTTTCCTGTTTCTTGTATTTATTGTGTGAATGTTCAGTTATTAATTTAATTTCGTCATATAGCATACGTGTAACATCCTTTACTCTTCGTATTTGTATATTGGTTATCAATTTTCTAGATGTTATCATAGTCTAAAAATATCCTCTTACATTTATTTTCGTTCCCACGATTGCAAAACGTTTTGTATTATATGAGTCATCTCATTGTTTTATAATGTACAGTTAAAATGTATCTTTTTAGATTGTCGATCAGTTGTTATTTACTTCTCTTCTAGCTATTCTATCACTGGATTAATAATTATCTTGAAACCCATTAGAATTAACTTTATGAGTTATCTTGCAACATTATTTGCACCTTTTGTGATGAATAGAAATTGGTTTTCGTCTTTTTACAGTATTAAGAAATTGTAGAAGAATCAACACGCAGATCTTTTAATAGCAAAAAGCATTACACTCTCTGCGATTCATCTACCAAGTACGAGTTTATGTACTTGACGTTAAGCCACACTATTTTTGTAAGGGGGCCAATGATACAATCCGGTTGTCTGAACTGAAGTAGGGGGGGTGAGTTTCGGACATGCAGCCTACCGTTTGGTTGTCGATTGCCCCATTCAATAAGCGACCGTCCTACCACTACACTTTCTATTTTATCATGTTAATCATATGGCTTTGATTATCTTACGTATACGTCTAGCAGATATTTTATTTTAGCTTTACGATTCGTTAGGAAAAAATATCTAGTGGCAAATAGAACAAAGTATGGAGAAGCCTTGTTGTAATATTAAATTTCAAACTACCAAAACGATTGGTTTAGCAAAGAGTTCTCTTTTCAGTCAATCCATTCTCAAGTATGTGTAATCGTAAAATATATGATTTCTTTTCAGATTACCAATCAACGATCTGTTTGTTAGTAACTTTCGGGAACTGAATATTATGACGTTAGTACAACTAGAAGTCGAATGAGTTGTTTTGTATTGACGAAAAAGCCAAAGTATATATTTTGTCTACCTCTACAATGACAGGTTAAAGGTCAACAATGACCAATCGAGGTGACATGATAAGCTGTGAGTCATGTAGAGAAATTCAAACACTAAACTTCTAGCTGAAGTTTGTGCTTTTGATGTTGTTTAGAAGAACAACGAGAGTCCCATGACCAAACCATCCAACTCAGAGAACAAAACCCTACCTAAATATATGTATTTTGTGACTGTACAGCTTTGAGTATAAATCGCCGAAAAGAGTACTTTTAAACTAATCTTTCCGATTCTTATGCCTTAATGAGCTTATCAAGCAATTTTACCAAACTATTTGCTAAAATAATAATAATTTGAATAACAAGTTTATAATATTTTGTGTTTACCTAACTCTGAATCGACTTGATTACGTATACACTCACCTGCTCAACCTCATATAAAATATTATATTTCATACCATTACTTGAATGTTAGTTAATGTTATTAGGCCGTTGTTTTTTCCATCACTTTTCGTGCGTTATAATTTTCAAGAGAATATTAGATGTGCTTCAGGTTCCATCTTCATTGATTAATATAAACTCTATTGAATAGTATCCTTTGATGTACATTTTGTTGATCATGATATCTAGAATTCATCAATTTACAATGTCACTGCATCATTTCACCATGTATTTATTTTAAAAACTTCCATAAGTTATTTTACGACATTTCTGAGTTGATTGATCAAAATGAAATTTTTATATACGAAGTTCAGTAATGTTTAGTGGCTGGAGGTGTTCATCAGGAAACTCTGGACCTGAGTTACGCAATATTTTCCACTTATCAACAAGCCTTAACTGTAATCTTTAGAGAACTGACGTTCTCTGTGGTGCTTAAACCCGAGTCACCCAACTTCATAGTCTGGGACATTACCACTGAATAGAATATTTGAAAAATCCCCATAAATGACTGATAAAATCTACAAAATTAATCAGTACTTAATAATTGAATCCTTATAATTTGAAACTAAGGAGCGTTCAGTCTCAACTTCATAAGTTATATATATATATATATATATATATATATATATATATATATATATATATATATATATATATATGTAATCCCAAATGAATGGCTGAATGGAATTTCACTTATTACAAAACGTAAACATAGCTAAATCAGTTCTGTGTGGTAATGATGGTGAACACAACTGAAAATTTCCAAATTACCAGATTTATTAAGGAAGGTGTTTTAAACTATTCACAGACATCGTGTTACTACTAATTTAACCAATGATTGTCCTTTTATCTCTACCTGAATTTCACCATCTGATATCGTTAAGGATGTACACGTAATTTTGCCAACAAATTAGATACAAGAGACTACAGGAAAAAATGTTTGTGAATGATCATATAATGTTCAAATGAACTGTGAAAGACGTATTTTTGTCAGTTATTTTGAATTATGTTTCGTGACACACTGTGGATATCAGTGACAAATTTTCTGTCATCTATCTGATGTAGTAAAATAATGAGCGAACTACTTTTATTTATTCTTTTATCGCTTGAGTGCATTCAATAATCTTATTCTTTATTATTCTTCCGAGTTCATAAAAATGATATCCGAAGTATTTTTATGTAAATATGTTATTGGTCACAATTGACCTGTAGCGATTCATATGTACTAGCTTACCTTATACAAATACCAAGAATAATTGCTTAAAGCGTAATTAGGAAAAATTTCCTTGATTCTTGGATTTTTTATATTTATTCTTTGTCTTTGTAGACTTACCAGATAACAATAATATTGAATCTGATCCATCATTAAAAGGAGTGACTAACGATTGTAATGAATCTCAAGAACTAGTTGTTAACATAAATAAGAGTGGAATATTATCAACAATGAAAGAGACATTTCTTCCTGGAATTTGTGTTTTAATCACATTGTTGATTACTCTTTCACTATTTCCAGCAGTTGTAGCACGTATCAGACCTATCACAGTTATCCCTCAAGATCTTTGGACAAGTAAATCAAAAATGTTTTTATTTTTATGCGATATTACTTTGTACTGGTGTGTAAACGATATTCATTTATTCATTTAAACCCATGGACATTGGCATAAAGAAACTCTAAAATACGTATGCGATACACAATAACAATGAGGTTGTGAAGAGATAATGTAAATTGGGTATAATAAGAAAGAACAACGAACATAAACTAGTATATGAGAGTTGAATAATAATAATAATAATAATAATAATAATAATAATAATAATAATAATAATAATAATAATAATAATAATAATAACGGGAGAACTAGTTCTGTTTAGAAAAATAGAACCAGGATGAATTCACTTAATTAAAAAAGTTCAGCTCACCCATTTGTTCAAAGTGAAGGAAATTCACAGCAGGACCGCCATTGGTTTCTATTCTGAGCCGTATATGATAGCGTTTCAAGTCACTATGTTGCACCATCTCTAGGACCCCAACAAAAGAGTCGTGATGTACCAGTATATGCCAGTCTTGTACAGCATTCTCTCATATCACGGCACCATGTTGTGCACTGACCACTTCTCCGCTTTCCACAACCTATCCCGAAGTCGGTAAGTAATTCACGACGTGGAATTCATTAGCACGACATTCATAGGAAATGTCCAAGCCACCGAAGTCAATGGTTCAACATAGTGACACCCATTGAGTTATCGTCACTGCGCCCGAATACACGATGTCGAACCTCTGCATTACTAACATGGTATTGCCACTGGATGTCAGCAATCCCTCGGAGACAACGATGGTCAAACACAGAGTCGTCTAACATCCTCAACTCAGAGAGGCTAGATTTCGTAAGCATAGAGCAAAACTGCTCTCATTGACGCGTTGTATATCCGACCTTCTACAGCCAGACTAACATCACGAAGGCGCCAAAGATAGCCCAGACTGGCATAAGCCACTCTGGCTTTCACTATACGTGAACTAATCTCATCACTCACACCACTGGCATTTATGCAGCTACTCTGATACGCGGACTTCCCGACCCAGAATAAGTGTAGGTTCAAGGTCCTGCCAGTCATGTAAAAGCACTTCGCACTTGGAAGGTGCAAAGCACACACCATACCTGTGGACACAAACCACCAACTGGTTAAGTGCCGATTGTATGGCTGTGGTAACATTGCACAGTAAGACAATATAATCTGCATACTCGAGGTCGGGAAGTTTTCCCCAGACAAACATATCCACACAACCATTGCCTAAAAATATCAGAGTTATTTTCGCAATACCATCGATGACAAAGTCGAAGAGGAACAGTGAGATTGGGAAACCCTGACTAAACCCACTGCTTGAATAAAACAATGGAGAGAAGAGGTTGCATGCCCTCACTCTGCCTGAGGGGTTTGTATCTAGGGCCTTGGGGATGTCAACAAACTTTTCAGGAACACCCTTCTTCATTAGACAACCCCAGAGAACAGTCGAAGGTGGCCTTGGTGTCAAGAAACACTATGATTATTGGCCTGTAATAAGTATGACGGTGTTCTAACCATACATCCTTGATTAGAACGAAATCCAGCTTGCTCCTTGCGAGTTAATCTTTCCCAGGTTTTGAACAGTCTGCGAAGTATGATGGAAGTGAATAATTTAAATGCAATCGCAACTAGTAGTAGTAGTAGACTCATCTTCGATAGTTGTTGCATGTGTGACGTGAACTCTTTCAAGATAAGGACGACTATGGACTCATTTTAAGATGTAACACTCTAATTGCCATACATTTGCAAACAACTCAGTTAGTTCCTTAACTAGAAGGTCGCCACTGACTTTGAAACTGATCGGAGGTAGGTCACTTGGGCCTGGTGATTTGTAGTGTTGCAAGATTCGGAGTTCCTTGTTGAATTGGGCCTCCTTGGGTGGGTCAGTCGACACTAGCTGAAGAGGACAAAACAATCTGATCGATGTCAGTGGATCAGCAGACCAGTTAAATTGCTCATTGGGAGACTGCCCATTGTCCAAGACGTCGGTAGATTTCATCGACCAGCGTTAAAGATCGTTTAACGCACACCAGATTTGCTGTTGTTAATGACTCGGATGAGTTGAATGAGCTTCCGGCCTAACAATCTTCATTCATCTTCAAACTCACGGTCACTTGGAGTAAACATAAGTGCTTCAACGAATTGTGAGGAGCCCTTAGAAACAGTATTTATAAGAGAGATGTTTCGCGAAGCCACAAACCACTTTACTCTTCATTTTCATGGCATAATGTACTTGCAGCCAATGCTTATCTATACTTTTTGGTTTGTTGATAGCTAGCATTGAACCCCGCTCCGTTTAATGTTTAGTTGAAACAAAAGCTGCAACGATTTTGCTTGCATCGATCTGTTTACGATGACAAATTTGTCGATCACTGAAACGTAAGATAAAATTAGCGCAAACAAGGGCATTATCAGAGTCCAAATAGTTACTCCAAAAGGAGCAGATGTCTTGTACTCAACCACGCCAGTGATAGCTGATCGCGATGTGATCAATCTGAGTCCAGGCTTGGGATGCAGAGTCAGGACTCCAGGCAGCACATCGGCGATGACTATGCAGGTAGTTAGGTTTCTGCGTAATGTCGCAGTAGATGGTCCCCGTTGGCCACTTAGAAAACTCTACTGCTCCTAGATGCCTGACCTGAGCATCCAAGTGTCAGGCTAGTACTACAATGTCTGTCGAACTCACTTTCTGTATAAGAACAGTTAGCTAGTGGTAAAACTCGTCCTTGATTGCATCCGGGCTGCTATCTGTCGGAGCGTAGACAGGGTGTACTAAAAGATATCATTTCTCACATTGATTTCCTCTCTCTTTGATGGAGCTTTCTAATCTGACAGCATATAACCGACTGTTAATAGGGATCCAGTCGGTTAATACTGCTTCAGCTTTGGCGCTTAGTGTGAACCAACACCAGCAAAACAAGGCGAAGATACCACATGGTCCTCGGATATGTGCACTTGAAGCAAACTTCGAAGCGACAGATGGAGAGCAAAATTTTAGTACTTCACTAGAGTCTTGGGGTGGACAACAGACGTAGCCTATAGTGGTTGGTACCATGTCAAGCCCTCGTCGGTTATTTTAGCTTCTGGACAAACCAATTTATTCATTATTGTCAGACCACATTTTGTCCTTGTTGATCATTCGCTTATTAACCATGACTTTTTATGTAGTCGTATGTGTGTTAATTGCTCACCCTATTCATTGCGTATCTGTTACTTGTTTTGGTCTGAATATAAATAATGAGTTACGTTTGATCAAAACGAGTTGGCTTACTCGCCTTGAATGCGCGTCCCTTCATTTCATTCTAATTCTCTTCCTTCAGTTCACTTCTCTGATTGTCTGTCTGAATTAGTGAGTGTATGAAATGTTCGGTTCGGTTCGGTCGCCTGTTACTCGTGAAGGAGCATAGGCCGCTCACCAGCATTCTCCATCCAACCCTGTCCTGGGCAATCCTTTCAATCTCTTTCCAGTTCTTATTCATCTTTTTCATATCTGCTTCTATTTCCCGACGTAATGTGTTCTTTGGCCTTCCTCTTTTCCGCTTCCCTTCAGGATTCCAAGTTAGCGCTTGTCTCGTAATGCAGTTTGATAATTTCCTCAATGTATGTCCTATCCATTTCCATCGTCTTTTCCTAATTTCCTCTTCAGCTGGAAGCTGGTTGGTTCTCTCCCACAAAAGGCTGTTGCTGATGGTATCCGGCCAATGGATGTTGAGTATCATGCGTAGACAGCTATTAATAAATACCTGTACCTTCTTGATGGTGGTTGTTGTAGTTCTCCAAGTTTCAGCTCCGTACAGTAGAACTGCCTTGACGTTCGCATTGAAGATTCTGACTTTGATATTGGTTGAAAGTTGTTTTGAGTTCCATATGTTCTTCAGTTGAAGGAATGCCGCTCTAGCTTTGCCAATCCTCGCCTTTACGTCTGCATCTGAACCTCCTTGTTTATCGACGATGCTTCCCAGGTATGTGAAGGATTCCACGTCTTCCAGAGTTTCGCCATCAAGAGTGATTGGATTGCAGTTCTCCGTGTTGTGTTTGAGGACCTTGGTTTTCCCTTTGTGTATGTTGAGGCCTACTGATGCAGAGACTGCTGCTATGCTGGCTGTCTTTATCTGCATTTGTTCGTGTGTATGTGATAGGAGGGCTAGGTCATCTGCGAAGTCCAAGTCGTCTAATTGGTTCTGAGCTGTCCATCGTATGCCGTAGTTTCCCTCAGATGTCGAGGTCTTCATAATCCAGTCGACCACCAGAAGAAACAGGAAGGGAGAGAGTAGACAGCCTTGTCTTACTCCGGACCTTACCTGGAATGCGTCTGTCAGCTGTCCTCCATGCACTACTTTGCACTGTAGTCCATCGTATGAGTTCCGGATAATGTTGACAATCTTCTCAGGAACTCCGTAGTGTCGAAGAAGTTTCCATAACGTCCTTCTATCTACACTGTCAAATGCCTTCTCATAATCAATGAAGTTGATGTAGAGTGACGAGTTCCACTCAATTGATTGTTCGACGATGATCTGTAGTGTCGCAATCTGGTCTGTGCACGACCGGTCCTTACGGAATCCAGCTTGTTGATCTCGAAGTTGAGCGTCAACTGCGTCTTTCATCCTGTTCAGTAACACTCTGTTGAAGACTTTTCCTGGTATTGACGGTAGTGTAATGCCTCTGTATTTTTCACACGTGCTCAGATCTCCTTCTTTGGAATCTTGATGAGGTGTCCTTCTTTTCAGTCCAACGGCACTTGTTCCTCCTTCCAAATCTTCTTGAATAGAAGATGAAGCATGCTTGTAGTTACTTCGATGTCTGACTTCAACGCTTCAGCTGGTATATTGTCAGGTCCTGCTGCTTTCCCGCTCTTGATTTGTCTGACGGCCATTCTGATTTCTTCTGTCGTTGGTGGATTGACATTTATAGGAAGATCTGTGTGTGCTGCTTCGATGTCCGGTGGATTCATTGGAGCCGCTCTGTTCAGGAGTTCCTCGAAGTACTCTGCCCATCTGTTGCGCTGTTGTTGAATCTCAGTGATTGGTCTTCCTTCTTTGTCTTTGACTGGTCTCTCTGGTTTACTGTATTTCCCTGCAAGCTTCTTCGTCGTATCGTAAAGCTGTCTCATATTTCCTTCTCTTGCAGCTTTTTCCGCCCTCGTTGCTAGTTCTTCCACGTATTTTTGCTTATCAGCTCTAATGCTCTTCTTCACTTGCTTGTTTGCTTCTATGTACTCTGCTTGTGCTTGGACTTTCTCTGCTCGTGTTGGACTATTGTTAATTGCTGTCTTCTTGTTCTTCCTTTCTTTGATCCGGTCCAGTGTTTCTATAGAAATCCATTCCTTGTGATGATGCGTCTTGAAGCACAGAACCTCTTGACACGTTGAAGTTAATGCTTCTTTGATACCTTTACAGCTATCCTCTATAGTAGTTTCTTCTTGCTTCAGTAGATCCTGTAGGGCTTGGAACCTGTTGTTGAGAGCTACCTTGAATTCATTGAGTTTGTCAGTATCTCGAAGGAAGGCTGTATTGAACCTTTGCAGCGCTGTTTGTCCAGTTGTCCAGTTCTTCTTTAGCTTCAGTTTCAATTTGGCCACAACCAGGTGATGATCTGAAGCTATGTCCGCTCCTCTCCTGGTTTTCACATCTTCCATTGTCCTTCGGAACTTTTTATTGATGCAAATGTGATCTATCTGGTTCTCTGTGGTGTGGTCCGGTGAGATCCATGTAGCCTTGTGTATACGTTTGTGTGGAAATATTGTACCGCCTATGACCAATTTATTGAATACACACAGATTCGCAAATCTTTCCCCGTTTTCGTTTCTCTCTCCCAGTCCATGTAGTCCCATGATGTCTTCATATCCGGTGTTGTCCATTCCGACTTTGGCGTTTAGATCTCCCATCAGAATGGTGATGTCCTTTCTTGGGCACTTCTCGATGATTGATTGCAGCCTCTCATAGAATTGATCTTTAACGTCGTCGTTGCTATCATTGGTGGGTGCATAACATTGGATAATGTTCATTGTGATCCCCTCCTTCTTTGTTTTGAATGATGCTTTGATGATTCTGGATCCGTGAGATTCCCATCCTACAAGTGCATTTCGTGCTACTTTGGATAGCATTAGAGCAACTCCCTGAGTGTGTGGAGCATTTTCCTCTTCGTGACCGGAGTATAGCAGCATCTCTCCCGTATTTAGCCTTTGTTGTCCAGCTTGGGTCCAATGGGTTTCACTGATTCCCAGTACTGCCAAGTTGTATCTCCTCATTTCCGTTGCTATTTGACTGGTCTTCCCGTTCTCCCACATTGTCCGGACGTTCCATGTACCTATAAAAATTGTTGCTCTGGTTGTTAGAAGGGGCATCGGCCTCGTGGCTTCCGAAGGAACTCGGCTTTCACCATGAAGCGTCATATTACCTCTAACTCCCAGGGCAGAGTTTAAATGGTTTGTGTTATTTTTTCTGGTTAGCGTTTTTTTAGCGAGTTAGGTTTCTACGGGATGGGGACGCTAACCCCATGCCCAACCCTCCTCCTTTACCCGGGCTTGGGACCGGCAGTAACTCTGGAAGAGCTACAGGCGGAGTTGTATGAAATGTACGTAAACAAAATTCATTCACGTATTCGGCTTTTTTTTTAATTCGTAATTCTCGAACGCAAGTGAAGTCGATAAAAATATGCGAGGGTTGACGGCATGTATATTTCGATAACAATCAGCATATGATTTAACTGGAGTCAGATACGGGGCCACTAAAAGCCAATCCTATCTGCTGTCCAATCTGCATTAGTGTGCGAATGTTGTAGGTGGCTGTTGTGATGGGTGTCTGAAATCTGATGCTGACAAACTGTGTGCTACGCACTCACTTTCCCCTAACTTATTACTTGAACGAGAACACAAGAGTGAGAGAGAAATTGTACCTAATAAAATGTACAAATACCCATTCATATATATGCCACTCTAACCCTTAGGAATATTGATCCATTTCTTAGCCAATGAAATTCATTTGTCCTTTAGGTCACTTTGTATTGCCATCAATTGACCTTCCCATCAGGCTACTCCTGATTGGTTCTCCGTATCAGAGGTCAGTTTGAATGGTTTACGTGATTTTAGAAATACTGGTTCAGTGTACGTCGTATTCAATCTTAGACCAGTTAGTGACTGTAGATCGTTTAGACAGGACTATGTTTCCACCATAGGCGAGTTGCTCTATAAGTTTAGAGATAAAATACACAATGAGAATAAATAGAAGTAGATAAGTCACGTAGTATAAAAGTAATATAAACGAATGACATCAAATGATTGTGAATGTAATTTGTCCGACTTCAAGTTAAATAGAGAATAGTTTTTCCTAGTTATAATCATCACCTGATTTGTGTGAGGGCTTGGATACTGCCCGGCCGCCCAAACCAAAGCAGGTGGTTTTCTTAGGGAGCCACAGTCCGAGCCTTTGACCTAGGTCTAATCGACAAGGCAACATTAGGAGATGCAGTATCATGGTAGCAGGTGATCAACGATAAGTTCATACGCCATATGTTCACTCAGGATCCTATAGCCTACGTGCACCATCGGTTTAGAGCTAGTGTTTTCCAACTCCCCAGGAGAATCCTTTGTATTCATCAAGTCATATTATGATTTCTTAACATTTTTCTTACAATATTTCAAATTTATCATAGTTGTTTTCATTGAAGTCCTAAGTTTAAATTCATTTCATACTCTTCATTTTAAAAACCCGTTTGTTCCCTCAACCGTATGACAAATAAGAAACTATTTTGGAGTTAATTTATATGAATTGACTCTTTGAATCTTCCCATTGATGTTTAGGACTGTAATTGATCATTCACTTTTAGGATATGTGTATGCTGTTCAGATAGCCTTTATCTTGTCGTTAATTCACAAGCATTCTAAGCAAAGATGGATGGTGGCTTGCAGTGGAATCCAGGACGAGTCGCAAATAAGACGAAAAGCTCATCCTGAACTCTACAGTTGACCGCCATCTATCTCTGATTAAAGATATTTTATTGTTATTTGGAATTCCTCAACTACCATCTATGTTAAGAAGGTATTGTCATCACATCTAGCGTACGACTAAATCTTAGACAACTGAAGATTTTCAAAGTTGAATTAGTTACCAAAATATATTAGCAGACGATATGAAAGCAAATCTACTTATGAACTATATACTAAATGTAGTTTTATCTATGAGAATTTCGCCAATCATTTTGATTTTTACATTAGTAAATAAATAAATATATATATATTTATATATATTCTATGTTTGTATATTTTTAGATGTTTATTTTGTGCCAGTACTTGTGTATCTTTTGTACAATGTTGGTGATTGGTGTGGAAGAATGCTAGCTGGTTTTATAAATTGGGTAAATTAAAAAAAATTTTGTGTTTTTTCTGTTGGTGTAAAATTTTCAGACTGATATGTAAAAACAATTTCAGCTTGAATTAATATCTTTATTATGTGCCAAATACATTCTCAGTTTATTGTTATAGTGTGAACCAATCATCTAACCAGTGATGCAATAACCTTTTAAAAACATAAATAAACCGTCGTAATGTGTAAAATGTAACTTTGTACTTACGCAAAATATACTTTAAGAAGGATTCCTAGAGCATGCCGATTTCATCCACCTGAGTTGTTAGACATCCCCAATATTTCGAAATTTTTTTTGAGAATATGTTTTACAAAATCAAGTCTTTTGTGGTCGGAACTAGATGGGTACATCCCGACTCGGTCTTTATTTATCATAGTTATAGCGTTTGCTTGAGATTGGGTGCATTATTTTACGTTTGGCAGACTTATTTCCCATCAGTAAACTTGGAACAGCATGGTTGACATTTGCTGTCTATTCATTTTCGGTTAAAATATAATATAAGTTAAATCAAAACTGAACAGTGTATGTCATTATAATAAAGATTTAATCATTAACAGCTTCAGGATGTTCCACTTAGTATGTCATCAGTTTCTGAAAGGAATAAAATTAATCAACTCTAAAACACATTACCGGCCTCTAAAATTAAAAAAAAGTTGACGTAAAGAGTCCTGCATAGTTCCTCATTACATTCTCAGGCATGATATCTCATTCTTGAAGTTGTTTGGAAGCAGGATCGAAACTTTTTGACTACATTACTAGTTACCTGTTCGGTTAAGTGGAATGATAACAATTCGAAAGAACAAGGATACACATTGCTAACTGTTTGCAGTTAATGACTACGCTCCTGTTGACTAAAGCATTAATGAAACAATTCTATTGAACGCTTTCTGGCGTCCAAAATATCAAATACTCTAATGTCGTAACTGTAGCCGACGACTTTAACATTCAAGTTAAACGGAATTAACCAAAAAATGCAATCATGATTTACGCCTGTTGCAAATGCAACAGTGACTTCTGTAAGCAAGCTTAGTCAGTAGCTTATTAAAATCCAGTAAACTTAAGAGATGATGATTTAATGAAGCTGTTAAGATACTTAGTACTGATGTAGAGTCAACCCCATACTCGCGATGCACTATACTTACTAGATTGACAGTCCGACCATACCAAGACATAGTATCAGTGCATGGTTTTATTGACTATTTGATTAGGACATGTTGGGTAGATTGAGCTTTTTGGTTAAAATAAGTAACACAATCGTGGTTGGTTACCTCAGTTGACACGGCTTAAGGCCATTCTCAGCGATACAAGTGGGTACTATCTTTATTTTCCTTTAAATATTGAACTTAGTGTTATTCCATAACTCATATTTTATTAATTTTCTTTTTTATATTTATTGTTTTACTGTAATTATAAATGTGAAAAGACTGATTTGTTTGCTAGCATGTATGCCGTTAGAGTAATATGATAGAATTACATATTAAGGGTGTTAAAATATAAACTCGAGAAATTTCGTGAATAAATGGCCAATTAGAAATGTATTATGAACCAGTTAACAAACTACCATACAGATTTAAATAAGAAATCGAAAATAGTTAATTTAGCTAATTTGATGAAGGTGATTACACGGAACGAAATAGATGGTTAGTCAGTTGCAACGCAAAACCTGGTACGTATGCACGTCAGTTTAGGTTCCCACATCCTATTAGCAGAGCGAGACCAAATTGTTAGGAAGATTCCCACAGTGGTAGAAGTAGTAGTATTAGTGATAATAGAAGACTAGGTAACGAAGACACAACTAAAAAAAATATAAATTAGTGAGGTAAAAATTATAAAGAATTTTGAGTCCTAGACTCTGAGGGAAGACAAAGAATGAACATCGGCCGTCGATATAGGCGGTGGTTGGGCATATGTAACACATGTCCCAACCACCCATCGATTTCCCGTTTGTACCTAGTATCCTATTTCTTAACCCAGTCATTGTTTGCTCGGTAGCCCCAAAATACACGAGTAATGCTTCGAAAACACCTATGGTCGAATACCAGTAACCTACGAATATCCTCCATTTTTAATGGTCATGATTCACACTCATAAAGTTGAACGGAGCGAACTACTGAACAGTAAACTTGTCTTTTGGCTGGCAGATGGATATCTCACTTACTTTACAAGTAACGGAAGTCGGCAAAAGCCAATTGAAACTTCCGAATCCGTGCCGAGATTTCGTTAAACGCCAGCCCATGAGAACTTATGAGACTATTAGGATAAGAGAAGCGGTTATTAATTCAAGCGCCTATACAAGCCAATCCTGAAGCAATGTTTTGCATTTTCGGGGAGAGAATTTCATCTCAAACATGGTTGCATAGTTTAGGCTGTCAGCTTTAGGGTTAGGGTAAGTATCTTCATCAAATAAGCTATATTGCTATCTAAAGCTGAAGGTCTCATATGAGACTGGAGGTTCGCCATTCATATTGTGGATGGTTCGGCATTATTTTGGCAAGTTTTGCTGACGGTTCATGCGCAAAATTGGTTTGCTGGTTAACCGATTTCGTTCCTACTGGTGGTTACTTTTCAGTGTTCTCAAGGGCCATTGTTAACATTAATGAGTTTGACTGTCGTGTAAGCGGAATAGGTCAACTTTGGCCTATTCATGCTGTGCATAATTGATTTACGCGATCAATGATCAAAATAATTATACAAGTGATGTGTATATGAATGGTCCACCAGGGTGCTTGGTACCTGTGTGGTTGCGCCACAGGATTGAGCTGTACTGCTCGGGTTATAAAGTTTGAGCATGGTTGGCGTCTGGTTCTCCTGCGAAACGTTTAAGCCGTACTGTTTTGGTTGTCACGTGAAAATTTGGATGGTGTCCGATTCTCCTGAAAACTAATGTAAAATTACCCTGGCCCATAAGGGTATATTATATAACTGTGAATAAACTGATTGATCCTGCCAGTAGTCATATGCTTGCTTGCTTGTCAGAGAAGTGTCTTCATGAAACAAAACTAAATCATCTGTGTATTCTTCGTCAACAAGTGAATCTCCCGGTTGGTCAACCTCTAAAAAGTCAGACAGTTGGAAAATCTGCACCCAAGTTAGATTTAGTTAACTTTGCAACCACGCTATCTAGGAGTGTTTCATTAAGTAAAAGACCATACCTGATCTACATTTTATTAGGTTTTTATTGTGATCATTTTGCTGAACGTTGTTGTTTTTACAGGTTCAGGCGAAATATCCGTCTACCAACCAAAGGACGTGTTTACTGCGCAGCAGTTCGTTCCGTCCTACTTGATGACTGTGAAACATGGCCGGTAAGAGTATAGGATAGTCGTAGGTTACTATTATTTGATCATAGGTGTCTCCGAAACGTTGCTCGTATATTATGGGACCATTGAGTAAGTAACACAGTTGTTGGGAAACGGCTACTAGGTAAGGATGGCAGACCAATTAATGAAGTAGTGAAACTACGTATCCCCAACTGCCCCGATGTGCGGTGTTTATGATGTAGAAGTAGGTTGGAAGAAAGCTAGGGGCGGCCAGACCAAAACATGGCACAGATCCATGAAGTCACTGACAAGTGGACTAAGCCATGTTGGTAGGTGTAGACTACCTGGTTGGGATACGCGAGACGATAGCAACATTGAATGACATGGCTCAAAATCATTTGCAATGGCGCAGGTGCATCCACTCTTCGTGTCCTCCCAAATACTAATCTCCTGGATCCTCATTGTTTTTTTTCTCTTTCCAAATTTCACTGGATTTTACTCCTTAAATAACATCGCCAAACCCTAATCTTCCGGATTACTGCTTATACTCTTACTACCTCTACCACTACGAGATTTATATCGACAGCTGCATCTCTGTGCTCATGTGGTATGACAACTCAAACTGATGTACGTATGTACGAAGTTCTACGTTGTTACTGACTAAGTTTTTTCATGTCTAATTACGTAATGGTTCTATTTGTTTTAAAAGAACTAGAGAGGTTATTTCATAAGATGATGTTATACAACTACCATAATTTCAAGACAATACATTTATCAACTGAGATAACATAAAATGTTTTCATTGGGTCTTTTCTACAGCCTAGAAGAAATCAAATGCTAATAGTCTTGTTATTATGTATTCTACGTGCTGCTATTATCCCATTATGTATGCTATGTAATGCACAACCTAGAAATTACTTACCAGTCGTATTTAGGCATGATATTTTTCCAGCATTGATGATTCTATTCTTGGGACTAACTAACGGTTACTTAGTATCGATATCAATGATACATGGACCAAGGCAAGTGTTGTTTGCGCTTTTTTAATATCCTAACAATTTCCTACACTGTAAAGACAAACTTTTTTCTATGAAAATATTCGTAATCGATAGTTGAATTAGTAGTGATTCACTGTATAGTGTACAAATAGTTTTGAATCAAAGATTTGAATTTTATTCATTACATTCACAGTACAGTTAAGCACTATCACTTACTAGCTATTCGACAATCGGTCACCATTATTATCATTATGGTAGAGAGTAATAAATAACTACAAATATTTCAATTTCAGTCGCGAGTATTTGTCTTTTTTCATTTGACATTGACAGACAAATCAATCAGTCATGTGCAACGCAGAACGTGGTATATGTACTGATTGGTCTAAATTGCTGCACGGTTTTGTTCCAACAAACTTCTATATCACAAAACACGGTGTTTGGGGATACGTAATACATGTCTCAATTATCTCAGTCGTTGAACATTCACTACCTCGCATTTTTATCTAGCACTGTCATTCTAACTTTAGCACTACACACTCATGCGTCCCAAAATGCACAATGTTTCTAAGGCATCTATGATCGGATTCTAGTAGCTCACGAACATGGGAGAAACATAGGTCTATAGCTACTGTTAGGTTGTTGAAAATTTAATTCGTTAAGCACAGTTCAAAACTAAGATTCGATAACCAAATCCATTTAACAAACTCATCTCTACATTAGTTTGTTTGCCCAAAATATTTATATGAATGGATATAAGCAATAATGATTCTTCCTGCAAGTGTGTTAGTTAGAATTCAATTAACTACTTCTTTCCTTCATGAGATAATATCATTATTGGAGTTATCGGTTTGCGTGGTTTAATTTAGGACTAGATTCAGCAACGCTAATGAATAATAGCATTCATAAATGTATCGTAATTTTTGACAAGCTAGTGCAGATGTTTAAAGGTTTAAGGGACCTAGATATACTAGTTCACGAACTCTACGCAGTATTATGAGTACAGAAAATGATTTTGCAGGGATTATTGATTTATGCTTGTAACATCCTGGTTGACTTACAAGGTACTACCACGAATTCTGAGACTTTAAGTGCTGCATAGCGAACTTGATTACATGTTCAGTCACTTTTCATTAAATTTTGAATTTTTTTAACATCCCACACTAGTTCTACCTGCTTGGATATCACACCATGTAATTATCACCACTTTTTATTTTTGCAATCGTACTAATTATTTGATGCATGCCTATGATTAAACTTCCCTGTTTATTGTTTCGTTTAGTTTCGCATCACCTGGTAATCAAGAATCTGCTGGTGCAGCATTAAGTATATACTTATCTTTTGGATTATCATTTGGTGTTGCCATATCAGTTGGTTTAGTACAAGGTTTATAATTGTACGCGCGTTTGTTAGTGACTTGATTTTATCCATGCATCCATCACAAAACGGTTAAAAAGCAAACAACTGATCTTTTTTGGTCATATATTACACATATTTTCATTATTAATTGATTTGCAAAAAAACAAAAATAAAGAATTAGAGTGTCTAAATTTACTACTTCTATGAATGTACAGATGACAACATTGAACAAGTACTATTCTCCATGATTGTTGAAGGTGATTCTGATTTTGTTGTATGTTCACTGTCTTCCTTGTTAAATGATGGTTGTAATTTCGATCGGAAAAAATCAAATATATGATGTAATACAGTACTAGGAATAAGATCATGTTCTGTTGTGCCTTGAATTAAAAGCAAAAAAGAAAAGTTGAAGAAGAAACAAATATTGACAAGCATTATGAGCAAAAATGGATGGTGTTTATTTATTTATTTTATTTGAACACATAAATATTGGTACAAGGGGGCAATATTTATCTCGTCATAAATCTAATGAGATAGATAGTGGCTAGCAGTGGGATCCAGGACTCACGTTTCATCCTATTTGGGACTCGTCAGCTAGATGTAGCTACATCCGAGTTGATGTTCACTCTGGGACCAGAACCCAGCACCGTTCGTTTCAAACGGTATCGCTTCCCGAATAAAACAAAACGCGTGTTCTGGATTCCACTGCTTGCCACCATCCATCTTTGCTTATAATGTTCGTGACTTAGGGCAATATCGAGGCTGTCCACACAGGATGCACATATGCTAATAAGAGACGAATCAATTGCAGTCCCAAACATCGATGGGAAAATTCAAACGGACAATAAAAAATGAATTAAATATTGACAAGGTTCATGGATGACATAGATTGTAATTTTCATATTTATATATACCATTATTGTTTCTGAGTCGAACAAAGTAAAATACTGTACGATTAATCGTCGTTGAAAAAACCTGGTCAATAAGACAGCCTGGAACATATATGTGAGTAGGTTTCAGTTATATCACATCAGTATGATCAGATGAAATAAATTAGATGAATAGTACAAAAGCCGAAGAAATAGCCAGATTAAACACTGAGTTTATAGTTCGAAAAGACGATGAAAATGTACATATGGAGCAATAAAGGTACTCCGGATCTAGAACATTATTACTGATCCTAAACTGCATAACCTAGTCTTCAACCACTGATCATTGTTGTCTGATGGACCCCAGTCAGGTAGTCAACATCTCATCAAGGTCAGCACATATGTGTGATAGTGTATCGAAAGAACAACTCTGCAGGTAAACACAACTAAAACAAACAATTTAAAGGGGTATTTAAAGCTAAATATGGTAATTAATTTTAAAAAATACTTACCTGATGATAGTGTTGGGATGGCATGTCGCTTTGCATTAACTTGTGGATTGAGTCGTGTACCTAATTTGAGATTGGCTGCTACATAGTTCACTGAATTCTGCGTTGTTTGTAGTAGTAGATTGAAAATGAAAGTAGATATATAAAATTTAGGCACATCAACAATGGTGCTATGACAGACCAATATTAAAAATTAATAAATAATACTTTTCTTCAAAATTTTCGACAAATAAACACATTTAAAAGTTTAGGAATTGAATACTTTGAGCAAAATATTCATTAAACACAAAAACATCGAGTAATTTAACCTACAATTTACTTAAGTCTTCTAAATCTAAGTAACTTATACACATTAATATGAACAAAGTTTATCAAAATGTATGATCCTCATCATCTTCTATATTTGAAACAGGTCAAAGGATTGATTTTAATTCAACCTTTTCAATATCATATATAGCTTTTGCGTGAATACTTAGATCTTTGAAAGCTTTGGTCATAATAAAAAATTTAAAAGTGCTTGTGTGCTAAAAGTCATTTTGTACTTATATTAATCCAACTCGGGTAGTGGTGCACTTTAGTTTACTATCCAAAAGTGAGTCGTTCCTCTATCACCATCTGGTGCTTCTTACATTTTTAAATATTTTCCTCTTTATATATATATATATATATATATATATATATATATATATATATATATATATATATATATATATATATATATAATGTATATTATTATGTAGTAGTTATTCTAAAAAAAATGAATACCAGTTAATATCACCTTAAACAATCCAAAATTGTGATAACGTGATGTAAAATGAAACAGATATTCAAATTACATTCTTAGTTTTATAATATTTAGGTACATGAATGGTTTTTGATAAAGTTTGGAGTAAGCAAGGATGAATATACTTCATAGTTTTGTTCACATTTTATAGGTAAAGTTAAAGTAGACTCTCCAACACACGACAATTAGAATTTTTCGTGGTATGATCCCAATTTATGAATGACTTTAATAAAATATTAAGCGTAAAAATACCCTATCGCAAGTGAACAATAATGTGTTCTTTATCAGTATAGAGATTTGTGGAGATTGTAGTATTTTAACGGTTGAATTCGTCCTAGTATAGTACTCCTCAGCAGTGTGCATCCCTACTGGGAGGGAACATTTTTTCATTGCTTTCACGTCTTCAATGGAAGTCTAGTTTAGATCGACTTGTGAATTTAGCTATGAAAATGTGTTTCTCCATAAAACTAACGTACCTGTGATAACCATTCTCTGAATTGTAAGACTTTTTCTGGTAGATTTTGCTGATATATTGTAGGTTTGTAAATAGAGGGTAATTCACTATCATTAGTATTCTGTTCATTAAGGATATTCAAACCCCATCCAACCCCAGCTGCACACAAATCCAACACATCTGCTGAATCAGTAAATACAACAGCTTTTACGCGACTTGTCAACTCACGCCATAAACGCTCCGCTTTACGTTGCCATGCTCTTGCTAAACGTAGATGTAACAATTCATCTGAATTATTATTATTTGACATGATATCAGACCATATACCAACACTTTTAGGTATGACACCACCATGTTTAGCGAAAAGCATGGCATCCAAGTCACTACCACTTACTGCTGGTAAATTATCAACACATAATTTATTTTCAGTTTGATTTGTAATAGAATTTGAGGCATTTTTCTTTGAAGTGTTGTTAACTAATAAGTCATTATCATCTGGTAACCAAAATGCACGCCTTGAAGCTTCTGGAGTGACATGATGTCTCCATGGTCCATAAATACGTCGATCGAGCCATAAACGTCCAGTTGAAACTACAAACAATTAAAATTTAATACAGTCCAGTTGTGGCTATATTTCGGATGTTAATACAAAGTGGGAAAAAGTTAGATTGTTTATAAGGATTACTATATTTGAGGTTCATATTACATTTATTTACAAACGTAATTATTAGATGCTTGTAGGATATGAAATTTTTGTACGACTTTCAAATAAGATTTCCATGTGAATACATTATTTCTTTTTTCGTCGACACTCAGCAATAGAAAATTTGACCAGGAAAATTTTGAACTTATATTAACTCTCACTAATTAATCAAACGATTAGAAGATTGATGAAGGCCATTTACGAAAAATGTAACAGGAGATTCTAGATATTAAACAGTTCCAAAGTAATTATTTCAGAAATATCTGAAACTCAAATATTCGGCGACTCAATATCATTAAGCGTTCGGTATAGCTACATGGACTTGTATTGCACGGACGAATCAATCATAAATAGTGATCAAGATTTCCGATTTAACCGAATGGATTTTAACAGTGATCTGAATTTAAAAGTTACTACATAATTAAATTGAAGTTAATTCTTATCACAAACTAATACTATTCAGAGATTCACTGAAAACCATTAGACACTTGTTTGTAATAGTCGCGATTCCTAAGAAACATGTTAGCAAAATTCTATCCGGGATCGAACCCAGGAACTGCAGATCTTGCAGTGAACAATCCACTTTTACATGACAGCAGGAATACGGAGGCTTATATGTACAACATTCTATTTTTACTATAGGGAGGTTGAGTATGCATTGATGAGAAGTCTCAACTTGAAGTAAAATATTTTTACAGTACTCCATGGTTTTCATTAATTATTTACATGATATCTTTATTTGATAACATTTCAAACTGAATACACCGAAAACCATTTTTCTTGCGTACATACAGATGCTAGCTAACTGGTACTACATACATTAAATTCTCTGGTATAGAAGACTATTTGTTCAGCTTGTGCCATACAGAGAATGAAGCGCTTACTGGTAATGACCAGTTTCTTTACACGGTAGAGAGCATTGGGTGTAATGAACTGACAGGTGATGAAACTTCGAGAGTTATTCGAAAAAATGTAACCTATGCTATCTACGGGATCGAAATGAAGAACGAAGACGAAGTATAGAGTTGAACAAACTGGACTTTAGTGCGGCTGTTGCTGAATTTAAATAGTATATATGTAGTACTCAAAAGAAAACTTATACAACCTCTTCTTTTATCATAGTCTCAGGCTCTAGTTTTCCAATGTTACTAACCTCTCTATTGATATCTTAAACTAATAACTGATTAATTTTGTTTCCATACGCTTTCTGATAATATTTCATTTTAATTTCCACATTTCATCTTAACTTGTTACCCAAACAGCTTATTTGTTTAACGTCTAAGATATTTTCTAATGAATATTTTAGAGTCTTACCAATCATATTTACGGGTTTATTTTGATAAACATATCACTGATCATTAAAGTAAAAATAAATTATGTTTTACGAGGATACAGCTATGAAAATAGGTTCATTGAAAAGAGTACTGTCGACTGAACTAATCTTTCTCGTTTTCACCTCAATAGAATGCAAACATGAAGTTCATTACGTAATAATAAAAGAATTATTTACAAGTTGATGGATTAATCGTCCATTCACGGACATAAGAATTACCTTTAGGAAGTTTTTCTCTAATTTCATCAGGAATAGTATTGATAGTCACAAGAGGTTTATTTTGTTGAGATGGTTCATAATCATTTGTAATAAGAGGTAAATTATCATTTGTAGGCTCCAAAATATATGCACTTTTACGTGTATTATTTTCATTTTTATGGGTCATAAGTATAGGTCCAGAAGATAAATGACGTCTTCTTGTAAAACGTATTTTTGCTTTGTCGATATTATTGATGCCATTGTTATGATAATCACTAAGTACATTATTATATGCAACTTGTGTAGAAGGATTAGTTCCATCGCATTCATTAGATAGACGTGGTTTTTTAGAAGTGGTATGTGATACTGTATCAGACAGAACAACTGGTATTCTGAATCAAACAAGAAATGTAAAAGAAATTTCGATAAATAAAATTTAAATATCTTTAATTAACGGTTATTTTTGCTAATGTTAGTTTTCTTACAATTGAAGAATTAAAAACAGTTTAGTGGAGAAACGTTTCTTTCCGATGACATTATTTACTCAAACTATACAATCGTAGTGATCGATTGTCTCAGAAAATTAACTTTTTCTAGGTATAAACCTGTATTTCCATGTATCATTAGACCAATCAAAAACATAGTTCTAGTCGTCCAATGGAGAGGCTGCCTTTAGATGATTAAAAACTTTGAACTTCAACGGATCAGTATTTCACAAATCTTATTATCACAGTTATGTCGTTTCACATGTCTATATCGAACAGTGAGGTAGAGAATATATTTCGAGATATTTCTTGGCGTTAGATTTCTATCTGACAATTAACAGTTTGCGGGGAATCAAGCTTTCTGACACTTTATTTTAAGTGCAAGCCATTGTAGAGAGCGATATTTATATTAAATGTGTGTGCAGAATGAATCGGCATCGTCAGTAGCTGACGACGATGTTTCTCCAAATATCCAGTATAATAATAAATTAGGCAAGCTATTGGTTATGTATGTCAATCCTTCGCTCATCTTTGAATGGGAGATTGATCGTTCACAGCCAATCAAATAAGTCAAATTCTCAAGAACAGAAAAATTCAAAATTTTGATAAACATAGCATTCCCGTTGGGTTGTTCAGCCATACAGTAGTGTTTTTTAGTTAATAAGCATATAAAGTAGTGTATTGGAAAAGGAGGATTACATCATTTCAAATATCAAAATGAAAGTTGCGTAACAATCGAGAGTTTAAAGGAAGATAATAAGATGGAACTAAATATGCGAAAGTTAATTGTCCACTTGATGTATATGAGAAAGGTGAATAATAAATTGCTAATTTTGGTTACACAGTCTCATCTTATATATTCTTTAGAACCATCTAAACAGTCAAACGACTGGGTCTGATAGGACCATAAATCAATAAATTGTGTACTGAGGGGGCGTAAGTAATTCATTCTTTGAAGTCTCAGCTCTGTATTCAAAAGCGACATATGCAAGCTATCATTCATTTATAGCCCCAACACTTAATTTCTATGGTGGGTAATTTGGTTGTTAACACATTCGTTTAGTTTTTTAAATATTCTTTATTATCACTTACACGTTTATAACTTATCCTTCACCTGTTCATAATCGCTAAGTAGACGACTAACTTTCACACATTCAGTTCCATCTCATCATTAAATTCTCGATTGTTAAGTAACTTTCGTTTTGATATGATGCAATCCTCCTATTTCTTGAGATACTACTTTATATGTTACTTAACTAAAAACATATTTACATTACGAAATATAGAAATGTTAGTTCCTTTGAATTAACTTATATTTATATATGGATTAATGCTTATAAACGATTAACTGTGTACCTAGCTACTGTTTATTCTTGTGTACTACGCCAATCAATTAATAAGTAGGGTATTCGTTGACCTTACGATATATTCATACTTTCACTATTATATGTACTACTATTTACGGTTTTTATTTTCCCAATTCTTTTCTTGGTGAGACCATAATTTATGAACGGCCTTTGAGCGGCGCTAAAGTGATCTTGAGAATATCTGCCTATTAACTAGGACTAAATGAGGGTTATAAAGCAGTGTGAGAAATTAGAATTAACACTTACAGTTGATGGTTAGTGTTAGAAACTATATTTAGGGTTTTCATCACGAATTGACACCAGGTAAAATGCCAAAACGCTGTTTAGCTAAATGGGTGGATGATTTTCGCGCCCAAATCTATGACCTGCTATCCTATGTCTGAATGGTCCGTCCATAAATTGTAGTTTTGCCTTGGTCTAATGAAAGGAACTGGGGTAACTTTAGTATACATATTTAAGAGCCATTAAAATTAATTAGGTTGCCATTTAAACTCCGATCATATTTATTTCACTCTGTATTTGTTTTGATCTTGTATGAAATACTAAACATAAAACTGTAATTAAGTATTATAAATGATCCCTAAAAACAAATAATGAGTCGGCAGATTGTGTACTGTTTTGATAATTTAGAAAAAAGTGCGGATGTGTAAACTGTGAACAAGCAGCTGACCATTGTATGACATTCAGAGATATTCATAAGTGTTGTTTATAACGTCATTCATTTCATACTATATGTATTGGTGAGTGCACGTGCATACATACTGCGTCTTAGTGATTGGTATTTATACTTCTAAACTGACTTAATGTAATATATATATATATATATATATATATATATATATATATAATGGCTGTAATTAATCACTGTTATACAAAATCAAATGCATTACCTTTAACTCATTCGGCTATCGACGGACCTTCTATAAAACTGATATAATTACACAAATCGATCATTGAGTAGTGAACAATATAATACTTCTCTAATCCTTAATGCTGATAAAATTCTGTGGTTATCATCTGTAGAATCATTCAACCTTAAATAGTCAGGAATAAAAGACAGATAGCTCTGGATCCAATTTTTACACACATGATGTCGGTCAGTCAGCTACAACGTAGGACTAGGCACATTTATACATCGGTCCAAGTTACCATACCTCATTAGCACAAGATGAACACTGAATTAATAGAAGTAGTTAGTTCAATGGTGGCGATGTATAAAAGAAAGATTACATATAAGGATATAGTACAGAAAGAAAGAATTAGTTGGTAGAAAGAAAGATATATAGCAATTTTAATCTCATAGTTTAAGGGAAGACTGAGAATGTATACACCTATGTCATTGTGACTGATTCTGAGCCATGTCACCCAGTCTACAACCATTGGTTATGATGTTGAATTAGTTAGACTAGTGTTTAGTATATTCATATGATTAATATAATCACTTCCTTTAGATTTTTTTTGAATCTACAAACTTTAATTTTCATAGAAAGGACTTTAAGCCAAGATGTATATGTAACATGTTTAGTGCGAATGAAAAAGATATTCGTTTAGTGATCAACAGGTCAGTGGAAATAGATCGAGTCTCAACCTCTAAATCCTATAGAACGCAATTAACTTATAGACCGAATTAATCTAGAATCCTATCGTCTACCATTGTTTTTAACTTCTAATGAGAAATCATTACTGGTGGATTTTAGCCATATTGGGGGAAGAGACAGTCATCATTGATGGATCTCGGTAGGCTGTTTAATTTGAATTGACTGAAATCGGAAATGTGAACCAATGAATTTTTACTTAAGCGACTGTTGTGAGAACTGAAGTTTGTTTGTTACTTCAAATCAGAAGTTTATGTGAAAAATTAAAAGTATTTAAAAAAAACACGTAAAAATTGAAATCTGAGAAGCCATAAATTCACCAGTATGCAGACGTTTAAGTAGATAAAACTATCTTTAGTGAATAAATTAACTGAAAGTAATGGTAATTACATTCACTCTTAATACTAATGTCAAAACACAATAATACCATTTGTTAATACTCATAAACATACTGTATGCATGATAATTACTGAGTATATTGAAATGTCAACACTTATTTATACAAAACATTACATAATTTTGAAATAAGATTACAATGACCTAATGTAACAAAAATCAACGTAAAATAAACAAATCAATAACGGATTTTTCAAGAAACAGGACAGGGTTCATTTGAAATAAACTCGTAACTTAACTAAAGAAATCAATATCAGGAATACATGAATCAAATAATAATAATAATTGTTCTTCATGATCCAATAACAACAAATTTCTAAATATAGTTATTAAATAAAGTTCGATTTTCTTTGTTTTACAATTAACAGTTGACGTAAAAAATGAAGATAGATACAAGCCCTTGGTTCTTAGTCAATGACAATTACTTTTCATGATAATAATTTAATAGTACTCATGTGACCACAGTTTACACTTAATCAATAGTTTTACGTATGTTACATGAATATCCATGTTTCTTCAGTTATCACTTTAAGGTTATAAGAGTGAACTAAATTTCCCGACCAATAATAAACAAAATTTCATCAGTATTTCTATTTTTTAAATCAATACAAATAGTTTATATAAATAATTATGATTCCTCTGCGAATCAACTAACCATTGCTAAGAGGAACAGACAGGTAAGTAGTAGTTGTGGTATTTGGATATGAGTAGTTTGATATGAATTGGTTACTGAGTTCTAGTGTATATCACATTTTCTAGTTTTCAATCGAAACGAGTTAGAAAAACTAATAAGCTAACTGAATTAACGTTTTGATATTTAGAGGAGTGATTAAAAAAATGGCAGATTACGAAGAGAATTCACGAGTAAGTAAATAGAATACTACGAATAAATATTTTACCTCGAAGCGCTACGTTTCCTGAGGTAGGAGCAGGTTAGAATTAAGCTAAAGGCGATCAAACCGAAACATAGCATTAGTTCATGAAGTTATTGATTATCAGGTTGAGACAACGAGTCAAAGTCCATGCAGTTATGGTGACCAGTGGTTGGAGAAATTGAGTGACATGGTTCAGAATTGGTCGCAATGAGTCAAGTGTACTTATTTTTCATCTTATCCTTAACCCAAATTTTTAAAAGCATTGTTTACTTTTTGTTGTGTGAACTAATTCTTTCTTATAGAATTGTTTTCCTCATGTTTAATTTGTTTTAATACTACTACTGTGGTGTGGGTTACTTATATCCACACAAGTAGTATATAACGGTGGTCAGGCACAGAATGTAGTTCAGTAGAAGATCGATGAGGAAAGAACGGGAACGAAACGCACTTGGTATGAAAATGCATGAACAATGAAATCTGAGACAATCGACTGATATTATCAAAAGGCCGAGAGTGGGGAGAGTCCGCTCTCCCTCTCGAAATGCTCTCACATGGTCACCGTATATAGCCTCTGCCAGGGAAGTCCTACTCACTGCCTTCTCGTGGCACAAGTGTTGTTTACGAAATCGAGAGGACGTAAAGCGAATGTCCGGCGCTTTACCCGGGTTGGTGGACATGGAGAGTCCATCTAGGGGAGTTGGAAAACACTGACTCCAAACCAATGGTGCACATGGGCTCCAGTGTCCTGAGGGAACAAATGGAGTGTGAACCAATCGTTGGTCACCGGCTACCATGGGATTTCATCTCCTTATGATGCTCCACTACCTTATGAATCAGACCTTCAGGTCGAAGGCTCGGGGTGTGGCCCCCTAAGAAAATCACCTGCTTCGGTTTGGGCACCCGGGCAGTATCACAGCCCTCACACAAATCAATTGAGATCTGTGCGGCGCATATGTATTTGGCGCCTCCTTGTACCAATATCTATGTGTTAAAATAAATAAATAATGGATTGATATTTTGCAATCTAACTATTTACTACATGTGCAAATATTCGTCAAGATTAGAACGAATAGTTTGACAGGAATTGGGCGCCGAGTATAGAGAAGTCACTATATGTGAAATTTAAATAATTCCAAGTTAGCTGGACGAAACGTTGGAATTATTTAAATTTCAATCGCTGAGATTATTTCAAATATAATTTTCACATTTACTATATGGTTCTCAGATTTTAGTGAGATGTTCTGTAATTTTGTTCTCAAATACATTCGGTTGTCCCCACTAGTTTTCTTGTTCGCTACACTACTACTACTACGTTGGTATTCATTATAACAATTCTATTTCACTGTACTGATATAGTGCGTCCACTTGGATGGATGCATATAAGTGGTAAATTCTATATTACTTAGAGCTGAGTCCTAAAGAAATGTATTCACAAATCCCCATTAGAAGGTCAGACTGTGACGATATATTTGGAAAAAATGTTTTAGTTCCTTAAAGATTGTAAATAAGTTGTACTGACTATAACAAAAACGTAAAGAACACATTTTATACATTCATAAAATTACTATCGAATGAGTAGAATTTTTTGGTTTGAACCGAATATATTTCTCAAGTTAGAAACGTCAAGTGATGTGAACTACATAATTATGAGTATTATGAAGTAATAATCAATATTAAATGACAATTTCCAAAGATTAAGTTCGCAAATCTGATGGTCAACATTTTTAATTAGAGAAATATCCTAAACATCATTCCACACCATTATTAGTGGATTATTGTATTATCACTCTAACATTGATTAAACTTTGCAAATTCTCTTAAATATCACGAAATTTGAAATAATTAATTTGTAGAATGTTTTAATACTTAACCCCTAGTTCTTAAAAACAAATGTCAACTGAAAGAAACTAACAGCTAAAGATTCACAAAAAACCAAAGTAAAATTAGGCGTATTATTTGGAACACTGGTTTACTGATTAAATTGCTCGATTTTGTTAACTAGGAGGTTACAGCACACATACTTCCATGTATGATTGGTTGGATAGGTGGCTTGCTTGAATATCTGGGCTACCTGATCCTGCCATATAGATAATTAAACAAGTTATCTGTTTTTTGTTTGTTTTAACACATCATTATGTCTATTAACTGCACAACCTATTCAGGCACGTTTATGAAAAGTTTACGATCATTCACTGTACAAGTTACAAAAAAGTACAATCGGACATCGTGGTGACTGACAATATGCAATTAAAAGAGTGAACATTATTCAGATGTCAATTCCTGAACTGCTAACATCTAACTCACTCAATATTTGCCAACAGGACCGATCAAGAAACAAAAAAAGGAAAGTTGTTGAAATACTGTAGTGTTCCTGCTCTTCCTTTCTTGATCTTCCCCCATCTTCTGCTGCCAGACATTACGTTCCTAACTCGCGTCATATACTACTCATGTCTACATAAGTAGCACACACTACAATACTTTGTGCTGGGAATCCCATATTGTACCAAAAAATTTAATATTGAATAAAACCAATGATAACAATAATAATAATAAAAGTATGTAGCTAGGTAAAAAGTATGTGTCACTAACGCCTTAATGTAAACAATTTGCATTAGATAAATGAGCTGTATTAAGTTCATTATTATTTAGACGAAATATTTCACTCTTAAATTATATAAACAACTAAGACTTTTCGAGACATAAATGAATGATGGATGAAAGAGAAACAAAATTAGGTCAAGATATTCGTTACATATTCTGTATTATGAACTTTATCGGAAGAGCATATAGGATTTAACAATATACATATTTTATGTAACATTATATAACATATTTCGTTATAGTAATGTTGTTCTGATCATGCGTTTAACAGTTACACGAATACAATGATAAAGAGACCTATCTGTCAATAATATCCACAAGTGAGTCGTTGGAAAAGACTGAATATGTCCCACAGGAAGTTAACGGTTATGTCTTGTATTATTCATGCAGTCTTCATAACTTATATCAAAAAGTCTGATTCACTGGAAATAACTGTTTCTGTTAATGTACTATTTCCTTAAACAGCTCTAAACATTTTCAAATTTTCTCAGAATTTTCCTGAAGTTTTAGATTAATCCATGTACTTGTTGAACACAATGCACGAAACATAACACATAAATCTTATTATGTCTGAAGTCTTTTAGGAATGTTAGATCCCCGGAAATCACTCGGCAAAGTTCGCGCCAAAAGCGCCCATCATTACGTTCAATTTGTTTCTCATCTGGAAGGACTTGAAATGTTATTGGTTGGTTTTCTCTTTTAGTACGCTATTTTGTGACGCTTCTCAACGATATTTTTGTATTATATACATTACGCATCAGTTGAGTGTTTGTTATCCATTCTTCCGGGCTGCTTGAGGAATTGTATAGTGACCTAATCGAATCTGGTCTTTTTCCTCTAGTTAGCAGGGCTGGAACGCAGAGGAATATCTTAGCTTTGTCCTGTTACTGGATCCCTGGTTTTGTTCCGTTCGCTAGTCAAAGGTGATATAATATCGCGAACATAACACAATCTAATTACCACGTTTTCTTGCATCTTCTACATATTATTAGAAAAGATAATGATCTAAAAACTGAGTTACAGTGCGCAAGTTTAAACACTTCGTTAGTGTCGAACCTATGATGTGACTGTTATTGATTACGCCATTATGGAGACTATATTGTACAAAGTAGGAGTTAGTAAACTGACCAAACACAAACATTTTTAAGCTAACTGATTTTTAGACGAAAGATTTAAACATTTAATGACAAGTATAGCGTATTAGTACCACAGTAATTTTTAAACGTACTTTAATACTTTTGATAAACAATCAGTCGACCACTCTAATTGTTTGTTAATCCGCATTTTAGAGTTGTGCTGAACTACAGAATCGACACTGTCGTGGTTACTGGATAAGGATTCCGAACCTTTACCAAACATGAAATCATTATGTATGGTAGGTGGGATAATCGGTTCTTTTGACATTTGTTTTTTATCCGTGTTGATAGGAGTCGAAGACACTTTCTTATGTGAATTAATTGAAACTGGTGATGAAAACCCAGGAAACACATCAGGCATCGGTTTGAATGGATGAATAAATGCATTGGCACCTTGTTGATGAGCCCAAACTAATATATGATTTGATGCACAATGTGGTATAAGGTGACGCCATATTCCATAGAGACGATCCTCTACAGAAATATTTGACTGAAAAACAAGTGAAGCTCGATTGAAATAAAAATAGAAAGTAATGTAAATTGTCAGTCATATATATATAAGCTATTACTATACACGATCATACAGGAAAATGTAGTTACTTTCCATTGAGATAATAATTACTAAAAGACTGTAAGCAAAGAAATACACCGGATTCAAAGACAGTAACAGGGTTGCTAAGTATAATAAAGTCAAAAAACACTGGAATCGGGATGTTATACAAATATACTTTGAAGAGAGGCCACACCAAGGACTGATTTCTAACTAGAACAGCTAATATTATATACGCACAATATCACTAGTTGCAATTAATTGGAAAAGCACGAAGGTAGCTACTCTGCTGAGCTAAATTTTAAGCTGCTTGATTTCTTTCTCAATGACGAACTATTGGTGCTTAATGTAAGAAATATCTCATTAATGTTGGAATTCTCAACATTAGTTTACTCACGTGCCAAAACAGATCACATAATACAATAAAAACTACAGTGGAACTGTTTGAGTTATATTAATGACAATATGTAAATTTAACAAAAATTATTTGAATTTTTTTAACAATGACCTATTAACATAAGGTTATTCTAATCTAATTCATTAGAGTGAATATTAAAAAATATTCTCGCTTTAATTGGCAAAATTTTCTTATCATTTCTTGGCTATCCTAAGTATGATAAAATATTTTCGTGTTATATCACAAACTAATTATTAATCAAGTCTCTTATAATGTTAAAAAAAGAAAAACAAATCATGGTACCACATCGAATAGATTAATATTCTTAAGACAAGTTGATAATGATCATAAACAATGCAGGCTTTTTTCTTTCTATAGTGAACAACGATAGGGTAGGTAGACCGAAAGAAGCAGTGACCAGTGGAGTTCATTCGGGTCTGTTGTGAGATAGTAACTCACTGAAGACAATGGTGGATGTGTCGCTCAATTTCGTGGATTAGTTGAAGTTAGACATTAACACCGTTGGATGCCGGCTCAGTGTTCTGGTGGTTAAGCGTTCGCGCGAGAGACTGAAAGGTCCTGGGTTCGAATATCGCGAGGTGGGATCGTGGACGCGTACTACTGAGGAGTTCCACAATGTGACGATACGGCCGTCCAGTGCTTCTAGGTTTTCCATGGTGGTCTAGCTTCAACTGACTCATGATTTCAGCTATTAAAATATTTTATTGATAAATAACATCAACCTTATTTGAACAACTTTTGTCTGTAAGATGTTTTAGAGATTGTTGAAGTCTGATATCATAGATGGACTCTAGTTCAACAACGTTTGAAAACTAGGAACATCTGGGCAGCTGTTTTTCCACAGTAATGCGCTTCCATGACCCTATCAGGGATTGACGCAAGACCTTCAGGCCTGATTTGATTGAATTTAGAAATATTGGGTGCCAATTCAGTTGTTGAGTGGCTAAGTGCTAACCAAGAAGTCTGAGCGGTCTAAGTTTAATCCTGGGTGGTGTCGTGGATGCACATTGCTCAGTGGTTCCATACTCATACAAAACAGCTGTCCCATGCTTTCCAGTTTCAACGGTTGTACAAACATGGTCAGTCCTTAATGTTGTAATTTTTGCTTATTTTTTCCTGGATCTTTTTAAATCACGTCATTAAAATCAACGACAGAAAAGATAGTAATTGAAAAACTACTGGTCAATCCAGTTTTATTTGGATTCGCGATGCCTAAGTAGTGCATACCTACATCAATACATATGAAGACATGTAATCCAACATAAAGCCATTATTAGTGGAGAACATAAATCTTTCATCTAGTCAGTGTACCAGAATCCAATAGTGTATATTCATAGCTTTAGTCAACACTTGGGATACAGTCAGAGGATTACATCTTAATGTCATAGATCAACTGACATTACAGGTCACGATTGTAAATAACTATCCAAGAAGCCTATCAATGATAAACACATTAATATTTCGAAAAATGACCAGGTTAAGAGCAAAGTGCATCGTTTAAAGCATGTGAGTTTAGGATTGTCAAACAAAATAGAATAAAATTGTTAATGTTGATATGACCCATAGAATGTTAACTTGAATCAGCTTACATGTTAAATGAAAATTTAAGATCCATAATCATAATAATTATGGGTCAGATAGGGTGAGAGAAATAATAGTGCAAATACAGTTAAATCAAATGTTTAGTAGAAGACTGTATTGTGTGTAAAATCAGTAAGATATAATAAGCTGGGATGAATGAGAAGTGAATGAATCATGTATTGTGGAGATTAATAATGATATTTAACCAATACTACTACTACTACTACTACTACTACTACTACTACTACTACTACTACTAATAATAATAATAATAATAATAATAATAATAATAATAATACATAATAATCTTTACTAAATAATATTTACATGGAATTTAAGAAAAAACTGTAGAAGTTCAACGGATGGCGTTTAACTTTTAACCACAAGGTCGCTGTCCCACTTTGATTTGGACAATAGAATAGTATCAATAACCTTTACATATAAATTGTGGTTCAGAACCAAGTACATAAGTTTTTGCTTGACAGACGGGTAACGTTCTATTTACAATCCAACAACAGATCCCTTGAATTAGTGAACGTAACTCAATGAAGATTATTTTTTATTATCGATTCTATCGAAGTGTGAGACAAAATTGAACTTCTAACTGCAAGAAACGTATTTAAAATGTGTTGGATTTTTGAACAAGTTTCTAATAATACGACAATAAGACTGGAGCTTAACCTTTTACAATGTAGCATGAATAAAAACTACATCATATGGTGACTTTAACCAAACAATAACTTAGAATAAAGAAAAGTACCATTAGTAAAAATTACGCTATCAAACATACCACTATTGGATCATTATTTAATGAACGACCCTTTTGAAAACTTCGGTTTTTATCTTCAATGGAATATGATGGTATATCAGAGGTTGTTGGTAGTGTCGTTGTTGTTGATGCTGTTGGTATTGATGTCGCGGGAAAATGACAGATGATTGAAGATTTTTTAACAGCAGTAATATTATTTCCGGAATTTATCACGCAAGTTGAATTTTCAACAAATGATTGACAGTTAGATGAGTTAAGTGAATTCATATCATCTGAAACAACATTCCTACCTTGTGGAACCTATAATTATAATGAGTAAATATACAGGGAATTATTTCTTTATCCCGTCGGTGATAATAATATGCTAGTGAATGATGAATAATTATATAATGACTGATCTTTTTATCACAGACTAATGTCAACCAGCGAAGACCAATGAAAATCAGAGATACCTGTTTCATCCTAGTATGGAATTTCTTAGGAATATATACCCACGAACCCGCCAGTGATTGGAATCAGAAACTTCAGATCTCAGGGCCAGGTATCTGCCTTTAAACCGTTGAGTTAGAATCCATAATAGTCCCCAATTACAGTCTTGATTAATTTACTACATAGTGCGACCGTCCTCTGGTGTCATTAACAATTCACCAACTGATGTCAGTCCGTGATCGCAAGACTTACCGCACAATCCACCCGACTAAATATTTATCCGTAAAATCTATTTTCATTAGTAGAATGTTTAAAAAAATGAGTTATACATCAAGTAGATTATGGATTATCAGCTCACTGGGCAAATTCATATATCATACAATTAATAGTAACATATACTGTATTATCAAAAAACATAGTGAGGAAAACCACATATAAAAACAGCTAGTTAGAAAAATGTGCAAGTTTATTAGTACACAGTGACGACAGTCATCATAACATTTTTGAAGACCAAGTAGTGAAGATCATATTTGAAAACAGAGAACTATATAAAGACGGCAAATTAATTGATGTGATCAGATCGTGTGGGAGGCGAATTAATAAACATACCTGTAGTGAACGAGAACTAAGATGAGGAAGACCAGTTTACTGTTTAATGCAAAATTACAATACTTTCGTAAAATATGAAAACCATACTTTAAATACGTTATTTGCACATCTCCCTTCAGTTATCCCTTACATGAATCCTGATTTATTCAATTCCGTTACTACTACTACTACTCTCTGTTTGAATTCCTGTTCTCGTCAATTCGATCTTCTCAAACTTCTACTCCCAGGTACTCCACTTCTGATTGGTGTTACATAATACTTATATCTGTTAACATAAGTAGAACACATCATATGTTTATTCTTGAGTTATAATTGATATCAGTGGTGCACAGGTCCTCGTCTTCCCTCATATCTCGAAAAAACGATGTCTCACTTTTTACTAGAGCTCTTTACTTTGGAAATTTGTTTTAATTGTTTATGAAGCGTTTAAAATCACTTTTTAATACTCCATTTTACTTTTACTTCCTTTCAATGTTGCGTTGATTTGATACTATGAAAGCTTAATTAATTAGATTCTTTAGAAAAATGGTAGCATAAAAAATAAAATATTAATCTATTTCCACCTGAAGTAGCTAAATCAACGAATACTAACTAACTAAACGAAATGAATATTCTAAATATTCTAAATATCAATTATAAGAAATATAGCCCATGAGCGATCAACTTAACTAACACGTGAATCACTTTTTCGCATATATATTAACAAAAAAACAGAATAATTTATAAATACCTGAAACAAATGTTGGAAAAACAAAGTTATTAATCAACTGGTAAAAGTTATTATTGAGCTTGATAAACATTTTCAGGTTTCTTTTTTCGATACAAAAAACGCACAATAATAAATGTAAATATCTGTTAACTATGTAAATCATTTATAAGCAGTATTCGTCACAGACTGATCATTAATATCCGGGTTTATTATTATTTTATTTGAACACATAAATATTGGTACAAGAGGGCACCAAATATATATGCGCCACATAAAGAAGTGAGGAATTTAAAGAGAAGGGAAAAACAACAACGACCAGATTAGTGTAAGGTAGTGTAATGGGGGGAAACGAAAAGGTACAATCAGAAGAAATCTTACAGTTAAGGAAGAAGCAACCACTCTTTACGAAGAAAGTAAAAGAAGGTTACAGCAGGATCGCCAATGGCTTCTATTCTGAGCCATATCTGATAACGTCTCTAGCCACTGTGTTGCACCATCTCTCGGACCCAAGCCAGGGAATCGTGAAGGACCAACACAAGCCAGCCCTTTGCAGCTTTCTTTCATACCACGACACCATGTCATATACTGACCACCTTTCCGCTTTTTCCAACCAGTCCCAGAGTCGGCAAATAATGCACGACGAGGAATTCTCCGGGACGACATTCGTAGAACATGTCCAAGCCACCGAAGTCGGTGTTTCAAGATGGTGACACCAACTGGATTATCGTCCGTGTCCGAACATACGATGCCGAACCTCTGCATTACTGACATGGTGTTGCCACTGGATGCCAGCAATCCTTCGGAGACAACGATGATCGAACACAGAGAGTCGTCTAATATCCTCAACTCGGATAGAGCAAAACTGCTCTCACCGTCGCGTTGTAGATCCGACCTTTTACAGCCAGACTAACATCACGAAGGCGCCAAAGATGGTCCAGATTGGCATAAGCCGCTCTGGCTTTCACTATACGTGCATTGATCTCATCACTCATGCCACCATCAGCACTTATGCAGCTACCTAGATACACGAACTTGTCGAATACTTCAATCTGCTCACCATCCAGAGTGAGTGCAGGATTAGAATCCTGCCAGTCTTGTAGAAGAACTTTGCACTTCGAAGCTGCAAAGCACGTACCATACCTACGGACACTGATTGCCAACTGATTAAGTGCGAATTGCATGACTTGGGCATTCTCGCACAGTAAGACAATATCATCCGCATACTCAAGGTCGGGAAGTCTTTCTCCAGGCAACAGATCCACACCACCATTACTTACATCCTCCAGAGCTGTTTCCAGAATGTCATCGATGGCAAAGTTGAAGAGGAATGACGAGATTGGGCAACCCTATCTAACCCCACTGCTTGAATGGAATAATGGAGAAAGGTAGTTGTATGCTCTCACTCTACCTCAGGTGTTTGTGTATAATGCTTTCAGGATGTTAATAAACTTCTCAGGCACACCCTTCTTCAATAGACGATCCCAGAGAACAGTTCTGTCCAACGAATCGAAGGCAGCCCTGATATCAAGAAACACTACGATTGTTGGCTTTTGATAAGTATGGCGGTGTTCTAACATCTGGCGGAGGGTGAAGATATGATCAATACATCCTCGACCAGAACGAAACCCAGCCTGCTCCTCGTGAGTCAATCTTTCTCGGGTTTTGAACAACCTACGAAGTATAACGGAAGCCAATAGCTTGGACGCGATCGGAAGTAGACTTATCCCCCGATAGTTGTTACAGGAACGACGTGAACCCTTTTTAAAGATAGGGACAACTATCGACTCATTCCATGACGTTGGTACACTCTCTAGTTCCCAGACCTTTGCAAACAACTTCGTCAGTTCGTTAGTCAGAAAGTCACCACCATCTTTAAAAAGATGGAGTGTATATCTACGACCTAGACCTAGAACCTTAAGCCCTCACAGAGAACACTTAACCCGCAGAACCACTAGGTTGGTAAAGCCCGACCAACATTAGGGACAAGCGTTAAACTTCTGAAATGTCTGAACTCTACAGGTTATAACTTTTAATTGAAACTTCAAGAAAGCCTTGAAGGAAATCGCTAGTGAATTGCCCATTACAGTTTATTCGAAGGAGGTTAGTGAAAACATGCTTAATTTGTAAGTAGTATTTGTCAAAGATTGATTTTATTTGTTAACGAGTGTCACTACCTCTACTAGTCTGATATTTTCTCTAACAGTTCCATGTCGCTGTGCTAATGAGGTATGGTAACTTGAAAAGATGTACATGTACCAGGTTCTACGCGTAGATTGACTGACTGTTAACGAGTCCCGTACTAAGATGAAACAGTTTTTCAGTGTTTTCTAGTTCTAAATGGTACTTCAAAAGAGACTAATCTGAGGCGAATACTTCCAACAAACTGAATAGATTACCAAAAAACCCTTATGGATCAACCAAGTAGGTAAGTTCAGAAAATTTTATATTCTTTTGTTGATTTTCGCACGCAAGACAAGAGGAAATAATAAAAGACGAAAATAGCATGTATTTATTAATTGATTTAACAGTTGTTCAATGACCTTGTAAATTGGTTTTATGTCAGTACAAGACATGTATAACGCACAATTCCAAAAAGAAAACGCGAAATCCACTGAAGATTCATACGAAATAACGAGATATTATACTGAAAAGTGTCGAAAATTTTTCATGAGATCAACCCACATATATATCTCCCGGGAAGTTGATCTACATGGTGACGATTATATTTCTAACATAATATCGTCAGTAAATCAAGTGTTTTATGTATTAAATCCTCGATTTAATGACTCAGGTAAATCATCGGATTGATACCGTACGGTACTATCGAGTGCTAAAAAGCAAGTTACCGTGATATAGAATGAAAAGTTGAAATCTGGTTAGTGTTTTCAAATTCAGAACTAACTTCCCACTATGTAAAATAAAAAGATGAAAAAGGTTTTTCTTATATTCGAAAATGAGATAATCGACCGGTCAATTTAAAAAGAACACAGAGGAAAAAAATTCTCACGTAGGTGGATTTGATGAATGAAGTTCTCTCTGTTGAAACTCTACTCTTAAGTAACGAAATAGATGTTGAAAATCAAGGATTCAAAATATGTTGACAAGATTTTATATACATGTAAGAAGAAAGTATATATCGCGAAGAATACAAACCTAGGTTCACGTTGACTGAACACCGATTTCTTGTTTGTCTAGTTCTCTAGTGCCGATAGAATTTTATCGATCAAGATGTTACATGGTCACAGATCTACTTAGTTCGATATTGAGTAAACTGTTCTTTCGTATATGGTGGTAGTTGAAAGCAGTCAACACGAAAATCTAAACCAAGGTTTCCTGCAAGTCAGGACTGGTCTTTAATTTGAAATCTTAAGGAAACTACCCCTTCCGACAGTCATTTACTACCTAACATAATGTGGCTACTTTGAAATTCTTTGGAAACTTTTTCGCTTATCAGGAAGTATAACAAAGCATATAATCACATACCTATTCTAATGCGCCCAATTAAACGATTACACTATCAAATTATCTTAGTGAACTAAGTTCACTTAAATTTTGATTCAGCAAAAAGTATTAAAGATAGAAAATATATTTAGACTAGTAATTTTGTAGTATTTTCAAATATAAGCAAGAATTACATATCATCCGATTATACAGAACATTTAAGTTTAGAGTCACTTTATGTCTGTCATTTTATGAAGATAGTAAAAATGTCTGTTTTAGTCGTTATAATTATTGTACGTTAAAAGTACCTTGAATTAAAAGTTGCCACGATATCCATAGAATTATTAGGAAATGAAGGAAGAATACATTGTATGCTGCACGGAAAAATATGTCATAGATAAAAGGTACAATACTCAGTTAGAAGAATGTATAGAGCGCAGAAATTTCTTCCCAATTGATCTTTCATTATGGCTCTACAATAACATATAACAATTAAGTAATGCTCATCGAGTAAATCATACATGAGTATATTAGTGTAGAGCCATGATGACAAACTAATTGAAAAGAAATATTTTTCCGTTCGATTCATTATTACTACTAAATGTCAAAGTGGGAACTTTCACTAATCAGATTAAAAAGACAAAATGTACTTCGAAAACTACTTCACAATTACAAATACATAAATATTGCAACTTGTCTTAATCATGAGATTTTCACTATTTAATCCACAGATTTTTAAAATTTCTAGATAAAACTTTATATAGGCCATAGTTGATCAATCATCTATCAGGAAGCTGAATTAAATTCTAGTCATGTCTCCCTTAGATGATTTTAATTTCGAATTTTTTTGTATTAAATTGTCAAATATTAAAGCCGGTGACCCATTCAAATACTATTAGAATTTCAGTGAAGTATTTCTACGAGCAACTATCAAAGTTTTACAAACAAAAAATGAATACAGTTGAAGTTATTATCAACGAATCCTACGATGTTATAATATAAAGCGATTAGTGTAAAATCACTAAATGATAATCAAAAGACTCACTTGTATCAAATTCTTAAGAGCGATACTATTAGATGGAACTAAAAACGCATGTTTTAGTGACTGTGGTTCGTAGTTCAGTGAGTGCGTAGCACTTAACATTGAGGATGATGTAGGTGCGCTAACCGTCGAACCAAAAGATTTTACATGAGTATTCAACGTCAAATCAGTAGTCGATGAAGTTAAACACGTTTCATTCATTGAACAAATTGAATTCACGCAACAAACAGGTGTTTTCTGTAGGTTAGAATTTGTTCGCATAGTTGAACTGGATGTAGAATTCGATCCAGTCAGTAACCATGATAAAGCTGATGATGACGGTGTTCTTGTCAAACACGATCGAAATAATTGTTTGGATTCTTGTTCAGAAGATGATTTACATGGTACGAAGAGTATTGGATTTTCTAAACTTTTGTAAGAACAAAAAAATTCCATAAAATATACAAGGAAATATATATGTGACCAACGTATTGAGAAACTGTTTGGTATTTTGCTCGAGCATAAAAGGTGTAGTTTGATTAGGATTTCATTAACTTAATTTTCGGGCGAAAGGGTATTCAGTAGAACAATGACAAGGAAAAGCTATGTAATACAAAGAACAAAATAAACAATAAAACATAAAATTTAAAATAAATGGACGTTCTATACAAGGTATCGTTTAACGGGAAAGACATATATCAATTTCAAGCTAGGTGGTCATAGAAAAGAAAAAGAATGTAGACATGTTTATATTATTGTTTGAAATTACAGAATGACTTGGTCAGATAACCAATGAAAACCAGGAATCGCTAGAAAGCTGTTTCGTTTAGATATGGGACTCCTCAGAGTTGCGAATCTACGACTCTACTACGGGCAGAAAAATATGAGGGTTTTCAGGTGTAAGTAGCTGATCCTCTGATAATACATACGTATTTACTTTGCACCTCATTCTAACGAACTAATCATAATTCAAACAATAATTTAAAGAATTTCTTTGACATGAGCCGTATATATGGAGCTCAAAAGATATTCAACAATAAAGACGAAGATTTAGTTGCAATAGGATTTTGAGAATGGTCACTAATTACATCAGAAAGACCAAATGCCTGACAGATGAAATGGCTTACCTTATTCACAGATTCGAATATACTCACTGCACTTGAACTGATGAACTTGTTTATATTCCGGTAAACAAATAGCTAGTATTAGCTTTTAAGAAGCAGAAAGATGACTTAGAAAATATAGGTTAGATAATAATCTTCAGTCAGGACAAAACCGGATCAATTTAACAGCTCTGTTATAGTGTCTATAACTGTTATACAACTGATAAAAAATGACCATGTACACACCGAATTCCTTAGTAATACAATGACAATAACTTTATTTTGACGAATACAGTTTTTAACGTACTTTGAATCGAAAGCAACTGGATGGTGAGTTTTACTGTCAAGTGCAGGTAATACTATCTTATTTGAATGATCAGGTAAAGTAAGATAGATTGGTACATCATGGTTGTTGTCCTGAACAGGTGACTTAAGATTAGGATCAATACGTACACATTCTGTAACATTGAATAACGGACAAGAAGGATTAGGAAATGTATCCATAGCATCCATTTCTGCTTCACTTGGGACATGTTCATTTGCATTGATAATAGCTATTGCATAACCTTGTTCATGTGCTTTTTTGACTAAAGATATTTGACTGCCAGACTGTAGACCATGTTGAGGATGTAGTAGAAGACGTGGAGCCCAAACACCAGCCTGAGCAATTCCACCACCTTGTAACAAAATAATGATGGGACCTTTGTGGGTAAAAAAATTTTTAGAATGTAAAACTCTCATACAGTGAGTAGGATGTCCAGGGATCTGTTGAATTGTTTTAAAGAAAAATGGAATAATTATAAAAAGATAGTTAATGCAATAGACTACTTATAAGTAACCAAGAATTTATTGCACAATTTTATTGGTTGTAAACTAGCAACGCGATGATACTGAACTGCGTATCTTTTGTTCCTCTAAGTGTTTTATATTGACTATAGTCGCTGTTATTACTATAAGTATCTCCTAACAGTTTGCAACCTAAGCTGAATCATAGTTTATAAAATTCCTCTACTGCATCAAATCTTTGTGGTTGAATACATAACTGATAAACTTGTATAAAGGGTTATATTAGTTACATACCCCTGTTACATCTCGTAGAACGTAGACCGCCTACCGTGATTCTAAAGTCTACTTTATCCTGAGCTCTCCTTACTAGTAGTTGCCAAATTCTACTCGATATTTTGATGTCCTCGTCCAACTTGCAGTGCGATTTGTTGTTCTTTCTGTCTCTTTAACTTTTTCCTTCAGAATTCTAAGTTACGACTACCCTCTCAATGCAGCTTGACGGTTTCCACAATGTGTTCTATAAAATCCAGCACCTTTTACTAATTTCCTCTTCAGATAAAAGCTTCTTTCTTTCTGCTAGAGTTAACTAGTGCTGATAGTGTCTGGCCAACGGATGTCGAGTGGAAGGCTATTTATAAATACCTGTACTCTTATGGCGATAGTTGTAATAGTTCTCCAAGTTTCAGCTCCACACAACAGGACTGTCTCGACATGTGCATGGAAAGTTCTGACTTTGATTTTGGTTGACAGTTGTTTTGAGTTCCATATATTCTTCAACTATAGGAATGCTTCCCTTGCTTCGTTAATCCTTGCCTTTACGTCTGAATCGGATCCTTCTTGTTCATCGATGATGCTGTCCACGTACGTGAAAGTTTCCACCCCTTCCGGAGTTTTTCCATCAAGTGTGACTGGGTTGCTGTTTTCGGGTTTTATTTGAGGGTATTGCTTTTTCCTTTGTATATTTTGAGGCTTACTAATACAGAGGTTTCTGCAACACTGGTTGTCTTACCTGCATTTGTTCGTGTGTATAGGATGTAATGGCCAGGTCACCTGCGAAGTCTAAATCATCTAGTTGCATCCAAGCTGTCGGTTGTACTTTTTCGCTTTCCCTAAGATGTCGAGGTCTTCATAATCCAGGTTTATATTAATCAAATAAAAATAAGATAATACCACTGAGGGCGGTAGTTAGGCCATTATTTAGCACACTAACTCAGTAACGTACCTAATTAGATAGCTTAAAGAATAGATTGTAAAAACTATCTCCAGAATGCCATTTACCTGGTTATGCCTTATTTTCTAGTTTAGACTGACTATGAAATTTACTGCTGCAAATATTAAATGAATATTCAACAAATGATTTCAGTCATCACGAGAGAAATACCAAATACAATCCCATAACTAGTAGAAATATTTCTAACGTAATGATTCAACTCGACAAGACCAGAGCTCTAAAAACTCTGATAATTAAATGTTATCATCATTTCTACTTCCTTTATATTTTATTCTTATAATCTAGATCAAAACAGTAAATTTGAGTACAGTTTTACTTTGTATGATATACCCATTCAATTGTCTATAAAAGTCGCATAAATACTATGAGTATCCTAAGTTATTAATTGTAAAAATTATCATATACTAACACTTTAAAACTTGATTTATTGAGTTATGATGGAAAGAAAAAGATATTACCAATTTTTTTCATATATTGTTAAGTTTGTTTTACATTGTTCTTACTCAATTTTATTTCAGTCTTTTGTATATTGTTTTATACTACTTATTAACACTCAGTAAGCAGTTGTATTCTCAGTAATTTCTACACTTATCCTGTAATGCAAGTTATGTAATATTCTGAAATATTTATATATACTTATAACGTTTATTGTACTTATCATTATAATTACTATACCTTAATCACTGCAGCGGTTATCTACAGTTTTGTGCATTTGTTTAAACGCAACAGTTTTTATATTGTTTTGCTCTTGGTTCGGATTTTGGTTGTTGATAAACTTTTATCAAATTTAGACACAGCTATCAGCTGTCCTTTGTACTATCGAAGCCTTTTTATTTCATACAAAAGTTGAGGTTTGTAACTAATTTTTGTGTATTATCCAATAAAGAACCGCTATTGTAGACAAGTCGTTGTTTTCAGAACTTCGGTTTTGCGCGTATCTCAATCGGGTGACCTGGACGCTTCGATAGATGAATATAAAATTTATATAATCCAACCATACAAAAACTATGTAGTTATTTTAGAATAATCTTACCGGAACTTGACTTGATTCCATATTTAAAGCAAATAGCCGTTGACGAATTAAACGTGTACAAATCTAGATACAAAATAGATAATTTCATTTCAAACTATTGTTTCTTACGTTAAAAAGTCTAAAGTTTATTAGAAAAGATTCTACCTAGGTTAAATAAATAATTCCAGTAAACATTAATACGATAGTGTACTTTAAAAAATGTGGATTTTTATTTTCTCGATTCTAAACATATTTCAATTAGAAACACTTTACAATAGATCAATAATTTTATGCACAGAAGGTAAAATGGTCGAGTTACATTCTAACGAAAGGAAATAAAGTTTATTGAGTTTCATAACACTACTTTTCACTTACAGAATATATTTGAGAAAAACTTTATCATGAAGTTAGAGTAAGAAATGGGAAAAAAGCTTTCCAGTAACTAAACAGACTTTAGAATGTAAAATTAAGTGATAATCAAAAGAATCATTATTGTCATTCTAAAATTATTTCCAATTTATTTTCAAGAATTTACATGTGTACAGAATGTTAAATTTTATTTCACACAATTTAACTTGACAACAAAGTAAGGTTTTCACAAGTTTCTTTTTATGAAGCATACCCACAAACATAATGTGTGTATTTATGACTGCACTCATAGTCGATAGGATTCGATCTGCACTAAGAAGGACCTGGCGTACATGACACTGATCACCACCCAGTGATCAATCAATTATAAATTATTCTATTTATTTACAACTTGACATCGAGAGAAAATACGGAATTGATTAATTTTAAGTATGAATTCTATATACGGATAACGAGTTCGTATATATAACCTGAGTAATAATTAAAATCCAAAGCCAAAATATGAGACTTTTCTGGTGGCACAGTAAAATAACGGAAAGTGCAAATTACTGATAATTTATAAATAGTAAACCATAGCATAAAAATCAACAGCCAAGTAGAGAGTGACGCAAAGAAATTATCTATAGATAGCTGATATATGACAAGAAACTATTTATATATGTAACTTTTCAAATAACCCACTTTATTTGAATCGATGCGATTTGCAACAAGATAAGTGAGAGAAGCGACGGCATTTAAATAATAATTTTAGGTATCATTGAGGATTAGCCACTGAGAACTCCAGACCAAACTTTAGGCATAAAGTTCAAAAACTTTCAAATCCATAATTTAAAATTATTTCTTAGCTGATACTAGTGGAGATTTTTGCAAGTGTAGCAGTATATAAGTGTGACAGTACACAGTTTTAAATAAATAACTTGTATATGCAATGTAATTTACGAAACAAACAGAACATGTACATTTTCATTTGTCAATTTTAAATTGGTGTATTTTGTTTTACAAATTGCACTTTTACTACCAAAACTAATGATATTAGATCAGTATATGAAGAAAAGAAATTAAACCTGTAGCCTAATAACGTTAAGCTGATTCTTTAAGGTCATTAGGCCACTTTTGTGGAAATAAATGGAACGGAGAAAAATGAGTGATCTTTGAAATACTTAAATCTAGTAAACTTACTGCACGAATAATTTCTTGTCTTTTAAGTGAAGGGCCTGCTGAAGTAACCTTTACACAGAAGGTGTCTCCTGTTTGAATATGACGAAGAATACCTTCTGGAATATAATTATTAAAACATTAAGTTTACAGTATGCAAAAATTGATAAAACAATTCAAGAATAAATTTCAGGAAAATAAAACTAGCTAGGACATTTTTTAAACAATTCTAGATATTTGGCTTGCAGTAAAAAAAAACGGGAAAAAAATCTACAGCTTAGATCAATAGTTATTGGAAGTGTCATAGAAATTTAATTGATACGAAATATTTCAGTTTGTATGTATTAGTAATACATAGATTTTAGTAATCCATAGTTCTTTCTTTTAATTAATCATGATTACTCTACTTGTTTCGTGTATTTATCATTGATTTAATTAATTATCTATAGCATTTAAACTGAACTCTTGCTCTTCAGCTGGATTTCTTTTCTAAAATATCTCATTTGCATGATTAACAAATTCTATGTGAAATCAATTAGGCTTTAACATTAGGTATAGGTGTATTCAATCAGAAATAAACATTATGTAGATGGTTAGCAAACTTCAAGACAAAATAACGATGCATTTTTTGTTGGACAATTTTTGTTTACACATAAACCTGAATGGAAAAGTTGGTTGATTAGTTTGATTTATATCATACTACTCATACTACATGGTAGTACTTTTTTAAAGAGTCTCGAATGCAGTACAGATGATTTGATAAAGATTTTGATGTCATATGCACTGGGTAGTTTGTGAATAATTTATAAGTTGTTTATCTAACCTATGATATACCAACATCAGGTTTTCTCGGCCACATAAGTAGCCGACTCCAAACAATTGAAGAGAATTTAACCGATGTTCGATAGCTCCCATTTGACTGACATAATATGACGGTAATCCATATAAGTGATATTCAAAAATTAATATAAGTCAGTAGTAGGATCAAAGAAATCGTGTGCAGGTGTACTGATATATGGGGGGGGATTTTGAGTGATTAGAATGCGGGTGACCTACAACACTTTCTTCAAGTGTCAATGATATTTAATCACGTGGTGGACATCACTTGACCATTTCATGTCATATTATTTTGTTTATCGATCGTCAGTCATCAACAACGTAAGACCAGGCACATATATGCATCGGTTCACGTTGCCACACCTCATTAGCACAACAAGATGAACGCCAAGTTCATATAAGCAGTTACTTCAATGGTAGTAATATATATTTTAATAAAGATTGCATATAAGCATATAATACAGGAAGAAAGAATTAGTTCGTAGAAATAAAGATATAAAGTGATTTTTATCTCACGGTTTAAGGGAAGACAAAGAGTGTATACACCAACACCATTGTGAACGATATTCGTGCGGACCCCAACCAAGTAGTCTGCACCTACCAACATGGCTCAGATCAGAATTTTATGACTTTATGGACTGATGCCACGTTTTGGTTTAACCTCCCCTGACTTTCTTCCAACCGTCTCCAACACTAGTCAGCATTGCGCATCGTGGTAATCGGTATTCAAGCATATGTAACACGTGGCGCAATCATTTCAGTTGATGAATATTCACAACCTCATCAACTGATTTACCATCATTTCTTAATACCCTGCGTCTGTCTAATCTTAATATTACTTACCCGGTGAGGCATCTTTGATCAAGTACTAGTAACTTACGAGTACCTTCTACTCCTAATGGCTATGTTTCGCAGCCGTAAAGTAGAACAAAACGAACTGCTGCGCAGTATACTCGTCCCTAAATTGACGGATATCTCGTCTTCGCCATAGGTGACGTAAGTCGGCGAAAGCCAAACGAGCTTTCCGAATACGTGCAGAGATTTCGTCAAACATTGACCTATTAGGGCTGATCAGACTTCCAACATAAGTGAAGTTGTCGACGCGTTCGACTACTTCACTTCCTACCCTTAGTTCAGGTGTTGACGCAGGCCAGTTCTGAAGCAGCAACTTGCATTTGGGGGGCAAACGCATCCCAAACATCCTAGCATTGTTGCTAAGTGCTACTAAAAGACTTTGCATTTTATCAGAGTCTTCACCAAACAGGACCATATCATCTGCACATTCTAAGTCAATAAAAAGGAACTCCTGATAGAAGATCGATTCTCGATAGTGCAGTCGACGGGAACGTTATCTCCAGCAGTAGGTCTATGATGGAATTGGACAAAAATGAAGATAGTGAAGAACCTTGACGGACAACACTTGAGGTTGTAAAATCAGATGACAGTTCACCAGGAGCTCTGACTCGACTGGTAGTGTTCGGATAAAAAACCTTCACAAGGTTTATGTAATTCTGAGGTAAGCCTTTCAATAAAATGCATTGCCACAGAACTTCTCGGTCTACAGAGTCAAATGCTGCTTTTAAGTCAAGAAAAACCATCATTTTCGGACGCCGATAGACATGCCTGTGTTCTAAAATCCGAAGAATGGTGAATATGTGATCGGTGCAGACAGGACCAGGTCTGAAGCTAGTTTGGTTTTCGCGTTTTTGCAGTTCACGAGTATTTGTTAGGTGTCCGATAATTAGTGAGGCTAGTGTTTTATACGCTATATTAGTTAAACGAATCCCTCTATGGTTATCACAGGATGATTTTGATCCTTTCTTATATATTGGGACGATCAGCGATTGAGACCAGTCAGCTGGGATTATATCCAGTTTCCAAATTTTAGCTAAAATATTGGTCAACCTAACCGATGAAAACTGGACCTCCATCCTTAAAGACTTATGGAATTAATCCATCTGGACCAGCCGCTTTCTCTCGTTTCAGATTAGCTTAAGCTTTTTGAACTTTAATTAGAATCGGGGGGTCTATTTCAATGTTTCATTCAGGCAGTTTGGAAACGGTGGGCAGCTGTACATTAACTGACTATCGATCGAGATTGAATCCACTCACTAAACAATCCGTTTATCAAATAATAAGGTTCTAATTCATAAAATTTATAAACTGATAAAAATATTGATATTATCAGAAATATACTGCATTATTTCGGGAATGGCCAGTTTGCTTAGTTCTTACAGCACTCGACTTTCAACCAGTGGTAGGTCGAATATTTAAACTTTATTTATTTCAGTTTGAAAGGAGTAAGAATCAGTAGCTCTCATATGAAAAGTATGGCTTTAAGTCGAATACTGTTAGCGGGACATAGATTGGATTAAAGCATGCTCAATGCACGATTGCTTCGGCGCACGCTGATTGGCTGATTCTTATCCAATCAGCGCTAGTTGATACTTGGAGAAGACTCTAGATTCTTCTTATGTAAAAAGCTATAAATATACTAACGGTTTTCCTATTTTGCTTCTCACTTCCATCTAACCTTGTTGTTTGGAATACAATCTTTTCCTGTTCAACCGTGTTTTGATTTGGGGGCTTGTCGAGTGAATTGGTGTCCGTGAATACTAAGCAACAGGAATAGCTGGGTTAAAATCGACGGGGAAAAAGGAAAATAAACTCAAGATGTCCATATCAGATGACCAGCTTAACCGAATACTACAACAACAGCAAGCACAATTAGATGCACAAATGCGGTTGTTAGAGACTCTGACTCAACAGCTTAACATCCACTGCCCGAGTTCACATGCCATTTCAAGTACGTCTTCATTAAGATCCTTCTTGGGGTTAATCAGTCATTATAGCACATTCTTGCCTGAAATGCATCGAGTGAGAGATCCCCTAAATGAATTACTATCAAAAGACAAATCTTGGCAGTGGTGAGCAGAATGTCAAGCATCTTTCGACAGAGTCAAACCAATGCTCAGCTCAAAGATTCTTTTGACACACTTCGATCCCAACTTGGAAATTGTTGTTGCATCTGATGCATCTAGTCATGGAGTTGGAGCAGTGATATCTCACGTGTTTCCGGATAAATCAGAAAAGACAATTGCCCATGCTGCTAGATCACTTACCCCAGCCGAGTGAAACTACAGTCAGATTGAAAAGGAAGCTCTTGTAATCACTTTCGCTGTCAAAAGATTTCATAAAATGCTCTATGGTCGTACGTTTACTCTACTGACAGATCACAAACCTTTGATTGCAATCTTCGGTTCTAAGAAAGGAATCCCTGTCTATACGGCTAATAGACTACAGAGCTGGGCAACAATGCTCCTGAGTTATGATTTCAATATCAAGTATCAGTCGACAAATACTATCGGTCAAGCCGACTCTCTCTCTCGATTAATTGAAGTTCAGCATCCTGGACCAGAGGATATAATCATTGCCTCCATAGCAGTAGACCCAGAAATACGAAGTATAGTGGCAGATGCCATTCGAAACACTCCAGTGTCGTCAGATGAAGTCAGAGAAGAAACTCTTCGAGACCCAATTCTACAAGAAGTTAGAAAGTTCCACCTGGAAGGATGGCCCGCGAAGATCAGTTCCACAGAGCTTCAACAGTTTTACCAGCGTAGACTCTCTCTCAATCATCGACGACTGCCTGCTGTTTGCCGAACGTGTCATAATCCCAAAGAAGCTACAACCAGCAGTGCTTGAACAGTTGCACGCAGGACATCCTGGAATAAATCGCATGAAAGCATTAGCACGAAGTTATGTATACTGGCCGCATTTAGACACCCAACTGGAGCAGCTATCCCGTTCATGTACCAAATGTGCATTAGCAACAAAAGCACCGCGAAAAACAGAGCTGCAATCATGGCCAATAGCACAGTCACCGTGGCAGCGTATACACTTGGACTTTGCTGGTCCACTTCATGGACAAACTTACCTTTTGGTAGTTGATGCATATAGCAAGTGGCCAGAAATCTTTCTCATGGAACACCCGACTGCAAGCTGCACAGTCAGTAAGCTACGTCAACTATTCAGTCGTTTCGGAGTCCCGGAATTGATAGTTAGTGACAACGGAACACAGTTTACGTCCGTAATCTCACAATTTTGTCGGCAGAACAGAATCCATCACATCCGAACACCTCCGTTCCATCCCCAATCAAATGGTCAAGTGGAACGCTTTGTGAGTACATCTAAAAATGCTCTGAAAAAAATCTAAAACGGAGGGGACCAACGAAGAGATCTTAGAAAGGTTCCTTCTTATTTATCGCTCTACACCGAACCCTCAGACGATTAACGGGGTCTCTCCAGCAGAAGCTCTGCTTGGCAGAAAAATACGAACACATTTCGGTGTCATCCGTCCTACGCCAGCTCTTGAGCCTCAACGAAACCTATCGATAGAGAATCAGTTCAACCGACATCATGGGATCAAAAGTACTTGCTATGGACTATCGTGAGAAACATCCTACATGGACAGTTGTTCGGATCTTGAAAAAGAAGGGGAGTGTGGTTTATGAGGTGTCAGTTGGCTCAGAAGTTTGGGTACGTCATGCTAACCGAGTGAAAGCAACTTCGATAGCCAGCAACGAGATTCAATATCGATTACCTCTTGATGTTCTGCTAGGCACCTTTGAAATCAAAACGCCTGGAACAGGCAGGTCAGTTTCTGTGCAAGCAAAGAGTGATACTTCTTTATTGCCTAGACGATGGACAAATCGAAAGCACAGGCCAGTCACTCGGTTGCAGTTGAACCCTAGCACCAGATCCTACGAATCTGCTCAAAGGGGAAGTGTTAGCGGGACATCGATTGGATTAAAGCATGCTCAATGCACGATTGCTTCGGCGCACGCTGATTGGCTGATTCTTATCCAATCAGCGCTAGTTGATACTTGGAGAAGACTCTAGAATCTTCTTATGTAAAAACTATAAATATACTAACGGTTTTCCTATTTTGCTTCTCACTTCCATCTAACCTTGTTGTTTGGAATACAATCTTTTCCTGTTCAACCGTGTTTTGATTTGGGGGCTTGTCGAGTGAATTGGTGTCCGTGAATACTAAGCAACAGGAATAGCTGGGTTAAAATCGTAAGAGAAAGAATTATAACAAATACATAAACTTATAAATGGTAAATGAGTTATATAATCATCCAATCAGTCTAAATAACATCTGCAGAAAAGTTCGACATTTGTTCGAGAATATTGTCTAAAATAGCAGATTATTCTTATTCATTCTATTTGTGAAATGACCACAAACAGAATGAAATGACATATAGCAGATAGAAAGTTTATTTAAAGTAAATGACTAGATTACACAGTAAAACATTCTACAATGGTGAACTGATAAATACTTTATTATCAGGTTAGATATTATTATTTGTGACTTCAGAGTAGCAAAAGTTTTTACCTGGGACTTCGTTTGGTTGAAGAGACATCAAATTTAACGGGAATATTATTATACGACCATGGTATTTTTGTCACATTAAATTAATCACTTATTTGAACACATAAATATTAGTACAAAGGTTCACCGAATACGTATGTGTCACACAAGTCACTTGATTTGTGTGTGGGCTATGATACTGCCCGGGCCGAAGCAGGTAGTTTTCTTAGACGGCCACACCCGGAGCCTTCGACCTAGACGTCTGATCCACAAAGCAGTGGAGCAACGTCAGGAGATGCAGTCCCATGGTAGTCGGTGGCCAACAATGGGTTCATGCGCCATTTGTTCACTCAGAATCCTGGATCCCATGTGTCCCATTGGTTTGAAACCAAGGTTTTCGAACTCCCCTAGGTGAATCCCCTATATCTACCGACCTGGTTAAAGCGCCGGACATTCGCTTTTCATTCTCTCAATTTCGTAAGCAACACACTCGCCACGAGAAGGCGGTGAGTAGTAATTCCCTAGAGGTGGCTGTATACGCGTGGCCATGTGAGAGCATTTCAAGAGGGAGAGCTGACTTTCCCCACCCCCAGCTGTACCAGGGCATTTAGGGTCAACCACTTATTTTGAAGGAAACAAAATGCAAAATAAACGCTAATATTGCTAATCAATGGAACTGATGATGCATTGTGATGAATTTGACACTTACCCGAGTCAAAATCGAAACAAAAATCTGAAATTTGATGATAAATGGGCCGAGCTAGTTCAATTCGACTAGGTAAGCTTGTGGGAATTTCAGGAGTGTTATGAAAATTAGAATCCTCAGATTTGGTTGATGATAATTCTTCTGTTGCATGTTGCTCACAAGATGGAATAAGTTTGTCGCTCTCTTTCATCGTTCACTATGAGCTAAAATCTATTTTAAAAATGACTGATTTACTTTATTTGTTATGTTTTAAAATACAGAACTAAAAGTTTACGGATTAAGTGATAAATTATGGCAACCTATCTTTGCTTAGTACCCTGTGGATAACCTCAGCACTGCTTACTTAACCATTTTATGATACACGAGCAATACTTTGAAAACGCTTGCGACCAAACATCTGGAACAAACGCATGTGTTCTACTTCTATAAACCAGGTTTCACAGCCAAAATAGTACAGTGGAGTATTGTATAGTTTTACTCACCCTTTCATAGTCAGACGGATATCACGCCTACTCCATGAGTAATGCAAGTTGCCAAAAACCAAGTGGTATTTTTGAATCCGTATTAGGATTCTGTAAAACATCAACCCACCAAGGCTGATGAGTCTTCAAAGACAAGTAAAATTTTAAAATCACTAGGAAACTGGACAGTTATTTCATCCTGATTCAAGACCGTTTGGTAGTAGCTAATCACGAACATGATGTGAACATGTTATTTATCTACTAACTTGGAACTTAGTAGCCTACGTTTTTTAACCATAGTAATCCGATGATATAGTACAGTCGATACCATTGAAGGAAGCTTATTTGATTTCATTAATTTAACAGGTTACAAAATATAGAAGCTGAAAAAGGTTCCCAAGTAGGTCACTGAAGGCTATAAAACAATTTACCGTTTGTAGAAATTCTTGCTGATTTGACGATAATTTCCAGTCAGTCAGCTGCAACGTAGGACCAGGCACGTATATGCATCGGTCCAAGTTGCCATACCGCATTAGCACAACAAGATGAACACCGGATTCATAGAAGTAGTTAATTCAGTGGTGGTAATATATAGAAAAAAGATTGCATATAAGGAGATAGTACAGGAAGATAGAATTAGTTCCTAGAAAGAAAGATTTGAAGTGATTTTAATCTCTTAGTTTAAAGGGAGATAGAGAGTGTATACACCGACGCCATTGTGATCGATTCTGAGCCATGTCACCAAGAGTCTCCAACTATTGGTTACGATAGTCACGCGGACTCCAACCAGGTAGTCTACATCTACCAACATGGCTCAGACCAGAAGTTAGTGACTTTAAGCACTGATGCCACGTTTTGGTTTGGCTGTCCCTAACTTTCTTCCAATCATCCCTAACACCGGTTAGCATTGCGCGTCGTGGTAATCTGTGTTCAGACATACGCAACACGTAGCCCAACCATCTCAGTCGATGAAGATTCATAACCTCATCAACTGATTTACCATCATTCCCTAATACCCTGCGTCTAACCTCACTATTACTTACCCGGTGATCCCAGCAGATACCCGCAATATTTCTAAGGCATCTGTGGTCAAATACTAGTAACTTACGAATATCTTGTACTCTTAAAGGCCATGTTTCGCAGCCGTATAGTAGAACGGAACGAACTGCCACGCAGTATACTCGACTAGTAGTGTTCGAGTAAAGAGCTTTCACAAGGTTTATGTACTTCTGAGGTACGCCTTTCAATGACAGACACTGCCACAGAACCTCTCGGTCAACAGAGTCAAACGCTGCTTTTAAGTCAAGGAATACCACCATTGTCGGACGCCGATAAGTATGCCTGTGTTCTAGAACCTGACGAATGGTGAATATGTGGTCGATGCAGCCACGACCAGGTCTGAAGCCAGCCTGATTTTCACGTGTTTGCAGCTCACGAGTCTTAGGCGTCCGAAAATTATCGAAGCTAGTGTTTTAGATATTATATTAGTTAAACTAATCCCTCTGTGGTTGTCACAGGATGATTTTGACCCTTTCTTAAATATTGGGACGATAAGTGGTTGTGACCAGTTAGATGGGATAACGTCTAACTCCCAGATTTTAGCTAAAATAATAATCAACCTAATCGCTAAAACTGGTCCACCATCCTTAAAGACCTCTGGGGCCAATCCGTCTGGACCAGCTGCCCTCCCTCGTTTCAGATTAGCTATAGCCTTTTGAACTTCAGCTAGAGTTGGGGGACCTACTTCAATGTTCCGTTCATACTGTCTGGGAATAGACGGTAGTTGAAGAGTAGCTGAAGGCTAACTGAACTGTTCTCTAAAATGTTCCGCCCATCGTTCTAAACGTCTGGACTGGGAGCAGATGAGAGTGTCGTCTTTTTCCGAAATAGTCTGACTTACACTTGATTTATTCATTCCAGTTTCTTTTATTAGTCTGTAGAGTTGTCTTGTGTTCCCTATAGCCGCCGTCTTTTCCATCTCTTTTGCTTTCGTTGCCCACCACTGCTCACGATCGTTCCTTAGACTTTTGCTTAACCTAAATCTGATTTGTTTACGCTCTTCATCGTGTTCAGAACCTGATGGGATGAGTTTACGAAAATCTATCAGTGCAATAGACCTTGAAGAAATCCATTGGTTCTTTGTAAGCCTGTGGTTTAAATCACTAGTAGATGTCACTGCTGTTTCCACAGCTGCTTGTATGTCTTTCCAATCAACATCGGGTCAGCCTCGTTTTCAGAACTACCTAAGTGTGACCTCAGTTGTTCCTGGAACCTACTTTTGGTTTTCTCATTACTCAATTCGGTTCTAATGAGTCTTTTTTGTGTGGCTTTTTTGCGTCCAGTGAGGCGCAAGCAGATGAGTGCTCGTATTAGGGCATGGTCGGAGTCCAAGCAGGTACTCCAGAATGAGCGACAATCTTCTATTGACCCTCTCCAACGATGACTGATGGCAATATGGTCTATTTGAGTCCATCGTTGGTTTGGTGCAGGGGGTCGCCATGTTAGATGATGTCTCTCCTTATGCTTAAAATTTGTGTTTGCTAAAAATAAACGATTGTCTGAGCACAGTTGCAGCAGACGATCACCATTATCTGTTCTCTGTGCCGGAATACTAAAATACCCACCTAAATGTCTTTCTGTTTCGTTTAAGCTACCTACCTGGGCATTAAAGTCGCCTGCTACGAGTACTATGTCTGAACGTTTAGCTTTCTGAAGAAGTTCAGAGAGTTTTCTGTAAAATTCATTTTTCACTTCATCCGAACTGAAGTCAGTGGGAGCGTAGGCAGAAATGACGAAAAGGCAACGACGTGTGTCCCTATCCTTTCGAGTTCTTACGGAGCCGTTTAGCCGAACAGCGCATAGACGACTACTAACGGGGATCCACTCTAATAGCGCTTGTTCCGCCCTCATGCTTAGTGCTATGCCTACACCTGCAAGTCCACGAGAACTAGCCATCGGGTCGCCAGATACACGGAGGGTGTATCTCGTCGGCACTCCGTTTTGCCGAGGTGAGGTCAAGTGAATGACCACACTAGAATCCTGTACGCGTGTTTCGGAGACACAGCATACATCAATTGTACGAGATTCTAAGATTTTAGCCAAGGAAGCCTGCTGACCGATTTGGCATAGTGTGCGTACGTTGAAGGCTCCAATGTGTAGTTTGGAGCGAGGTTTCAGTAGACCTGGGACAGTGTTTCGCGCACTAGAATCGTTGGCTGTGGTGACACTTGAGGAGGAAGCCGAAAGAGGGAGTTTGGATTTGAAAGTCGATGTAAGAGGAATAATAGGAATTGGAGAGGTAGGTTGATTATGAATACAGTGGTCTTGAGTGCTGTTAGAGGTATGAGGGCGGTTATCACTTCCCCGTCGCCCACACCATGGAAGGGTTCTGCTTGAGGTGCCTGAAAAGGAAATTGGATTAGAGGTGGTCATAGTGACCTGAGAGCGTGACCGCAGTGCCCAAGGGACAGCTGCTTGAGGTCGGTCACACAGGACCTTTCTATGAGTAATTTTTGTGTTAGCTCCGTACTTGTTGAGACCTTACCGCCGGAGACGGATATCCGTGGGATAAGGCGAGGTGTGCATTTTTAGGGTCGACCTTTTCTAACCCCTCCCCTCCTTTTGGGAAGGCAGCATCGCTGTTATGCTGGTTGTCTGAAGGAAACACCTTACTGCTGTCACACCTCTGTACAGTCAGCAGTACGACTTCGCCTTCGGACCTTGGTTTTGTTGTTTTTAGTCTTACCGCTCTTCAACCGACCTGTCTGGCATGGTAGGACCTTGAGGAACGGTTGTTCCAGCCAGTATAGCTCAGTTGCTTCATCACGATAGGCAAGCCCGACCACCACATCAAGGTAACAACAACGGTCAGGACGATAATTTTCACCCTGAACTGATGTCAGATTGAGAACCAAGGATCAATTATCTGAATGGCATTTCACTAGAGTGGAATCTTTGGTGCTTTAGTTAGGTTTTCATCCTCTCAATTTCGTAACAACACCCCTGCCGTAAGAAGACAGTGAGTAGGACTTCCCTGGCGGCGGCTGTATACACGTGGCTATGTGAGATCATTTCGAGAGGAAAAGCAGACCCCTCCGGCCCCAGCGGTACCAGGGCATTCGGGGGAAGATACTCAAAAGACATAAATGAATATACATATACATATCATGTAAAATAACACAAAGTGGTAGCATCATTTGCTAAAACAAACGACTAATTTTGTTGTTCTAAACAGGCGGAATTGAGGTCAGATGTGGATATACTAATTAATGGTAATCATGTATTATCAATATTTCTGAGTATTTGATACAAGAAAGAACATATAATGATTCATTAATTAGGCTGTGGATCACATTGCATTCCTGGTCTAAGTAACCAGGCTCTATTACTAATTAATAAAAGCATTTTTGTGATGAAATAAAGAGACTGGAAAGAAGAGCAATAAAATGTGAATATATTTGAACTATGAAGCTTGAGCTAACTTAAAATGTCTTCTGATTACGTTATATTATCTTATAGAACACATTAAGTTTCAATAGGTATGTTAAGTAACATTAGTTTGGTAAAGATAAATGTAACATGTTAAGTTAGTACAGTTCCTGTAATTTGACAGTATAAGATACTCCCACTGTTATGATTGCCAAAAGGATGTCACCGAAAACTTGTTAGTAATTAAATTATAAATAAATAAACAAAAACCACAGGTCACAATAATTTGTTGGATGATAACAATATAACAGATTATCGGTTAGTGAGTCCTCATTACTTGGAACGAATGTGTATTGGTCAGACATTTGAGATTTGTCTAAGCGGATAAGCTGGAGCTTTTCATTAAGAACTCAACTTTTGAAATTAAGCACAACGATCCACATAGTGTGCATTCCTGGTCTGAAGAATTTCCACTTTAAACATCTGAAGAACCAGATACAATAAAAGCTCAATCAGATCAGAAATCCTGTGATGACTTTGTAGGTTACAAATGTTATTTATAACGATTATAGCGACAAAATTGACATCGATCACTGAGTGACCTTAGTATATCAACGAATTCAATTTTAGCTAAGTATATTTGGGTTATCAGATCACAGGTTTGTATACAAATAGCCATTGTTTGCTTTCGTTTTTTATCCGGCTTCCCAAGTATTAAGTGATGCCCTG